TATTGTTGATTTAACTGATTAGGTCTACCCCTAATGGCATGTGTTACAAAAGGAACTGGAGGTAATTGAATAACCATTAACCTTTGTAGTGAATATAATTGTTTTCTCTGTGTTTTTGGATATATCTGTTTTGGACAATATTTAAACTTGTTTATTCATAACATTCGTCTCTCACATTTTCAGTTTTACACTGCTTTGGTTATATATTTTGAAAAGTTGGCTCTGGAAACATCAAACTCGGAGGTTTGTTTTGTAATTGTTATGGTAATTATTAAAACAATTTATTCGGGTTGACTACTCATAATTTGCAGATAACTTTTGGTACCCGAATTGTAACTTAGTTTTCTCGTTATTTGAATCATAAATCACGAATGTATTAAGCGACCATGCTTCGATAATAGACCAGAGCAAAATTTAAACTTGGAAGACAGAGTTATCAGAAAATTCTTATGAACAAATTTCGGTTGTTATGTATGAAGTGGTGCTTCATGATTAGAGAGCAAGTAGATATGACACGGACTCCGATTTACCTTCACTAGTCCTTCTGTTGATTATTTATGATAATAAAACCGCACACCTTGGTTACATGCCACTACTAGGTTTCAGTTTTTGACCTCTATATCGTGGTAAGCAACTATGTGAGCATAGGCCTGAACTAACCTTTTAAAATCAAATATACAAAATAATTATTCGTCCAGATTAGTGAGTGACCAGGACGATAACCAGAACAAGCTTGAGGAACAACGTGTAAAGATTTTAGATATATACACATAAACGCGCAGCACGACACGTACCCTTGACGGTACTGAGGAAACCGAGAAATTCCGGGCCATTTTTCAGTGGAAAACGACTACAATAAAGTTATTTTAGCAATGTGTATAAAAGAGATACTTTTCTCGATTGAAAGATAAATCCTACCGTTCATATCCTAGATATTGGAATATAGGAATTAGGAGTACAGCGCTTATGTAGATAAACGATTTCCAAGATAGGGAAACTGTGCTTAGTGGAGTGTCTTAGGGTACAATTTTGAGACCAGAGTTATTCCTCCCTCGTGCAAATTGACTATTTTCCTTTACCAGTGTTATATCCCGATGAGAATAATAAATGGTAACCGTTGGAATATATTTCTAGACTAGTACTATACATATATTTCTGTTATATAATTGTTAGGTTGTCACGGCTTAGGTTGATTAGTTAAGAGTTGAACTCAATCAACTAAGTACATGTCAAAACAAAAGAGCTAAATTATTCAATCACTTCTTTATTTTGTATAGGCATTATATTCCCTATTTTCTTATATTGAATGTTGAAAAGCTTTGTGTGTTTGAACAGGTAATTTCACACTCCACTGTGACCACCTATTAACTAAAAGTCTGGTTTCTTCTATCAAAAGGACGAGGGTTACCTACAGGCACGAAAAAGTAACCAAAGTGTTCATATTCGTGTTCCTCTTATTATAAGCTTCATTTTGACCTACGAAATATTATTATACGATTTACCATTCTAAGGTTATTCTCAGCTTATAAATTACTATCACCCACATTCACAGCCACTATTGCCTAATGTACAAATATTGTCTTCTATTTAATGGTACGATATGGTCTGGTTGGTTTGTATATAAATCCAGTATGTTTGAAATGCATAATTCACATCTCAGAGGCAGGGATTGACGTTCTGGACTCAACAGACAACGCATGGAAGGAAACAGGACCGGTAAAGACTCTGGGTAACTTGTACGGATTTTATACGTCATTCACTGCTCTCCGATTGGTGTTTCATTAAGTTATACATTGATGGGGGATAAACCCACAAGCTATAATAGCCACTGCTGGTAACATCAAGACACAAAGTGAAATACAAAACAAAGGTTGTGGTTTAGAGTTTAATAATGAATTACAAGAATCATCTGAATGGTCCAGAATTCAAAAGTCATCGATAAATGGCTCCGCATGTGTTATAATGCAGTGTTCGGTCAGTTGGTCACAGTTCTTAATTTTTTATTTAACGGATCCCGACTTTTATTACCTTTCAGAATAAAGACTTTACGAGGACAGAAACTCAGAAACAACATGAAGTGACCTCGGAGAGCAAGTAAATTTTATGGATGATTCCGAACAACAATTTAGACAACTGGTTTAATATAGTTATGAAACGATTTGTGTTATAAAACAACGCAATTATAATTACTAGACAGTTTTAACATGAACACTGAACTTAAACTTGTGAATTACCGGTGTCTTCATCATGAACACATATCAGCAATATAATTAGAGTGTTTTGTAGCTGTGAGTCTACATGCACTTCGGGCACTTAAATGTCAAATGTCAAAAGGTATAATATAGGGGAAGTGCAACTACCAGTGGTTCGGTCTCATAAGGATCTGGGGGTGACAGTAAGTCAGGATCTTAAGACGACGACCCGTTGCCTGCAGGTCATAGCTAAGGGGTTTCGAACCCTCTGGGCATTAAAACGGACATTCACTAAGCTAGATACTACCATGTTCACCAAAGTATACACGTCCTTAGTGAGAACTAAGCTTGAGAACTGCGTTCAGGCTGCAAGCCCCTGTTTAAAAGGTGACTCGGATATCCTAGAAGAATTATGGAGGACAGCTACCCGTGCAATTCCAGAACTCCGGGGTTTACCATACAAAGAGCGGTTTGAAAAGCTAGATCTCTTCACCCTGTCCTATCGTAGATTAAGGGGGGATCTAATTTTGATGTACAGAATACTGAGAAATGATTTTGGACCTAACTTATTCTCTCTTTTCCTTCGCACTAAATCGGGACATCTCAGAGGACATAGCAGGCGAGTAGAAGAGCCAAGAACGAACAAAATACCCGTGGCATACAGGTTTTCACACCGAGTCATCAATACTTGGAACCTGCTGCCCGAAGTAGTGGTGTCCGCACCTTCAATTGACTCTTTCAAGTGAAGTATGTACACTCACAGAAGCATACTAGAAAAGGAATAACATAGGCCGTAGATCTTCTGTCCTAAATATACAAATCTGAATCTGAATGTGGATGAATTTAAGACTAGACCTGATTAACTCGTTCGTATACTTTATGTCTATAGACACTGGTTATGATGAAATGAACATTAACTTGGTATTCTTTACTATCAGTGTCAATTCACTAAAAGTTTTTATTTGCTCTACTGATTAGATAAAGATTTCAAGGTTAATCGGCGGCTTCTTCAAGTCTCACCGAATTTTCAGGATTCTGCATAGGACACTCAATGTTATTTTTAAGATCAATCGCCTAAAGCATCGGAGTATAGAATAACCGTCTTTGGGATTACGCGAATTTACCGTCACTTAGTAGTCCTAGGAAGCCATGTAAATAACCTCTAACAAGTTCTGTTTTGTTCCAATATTATTGTATGTATTTTTATATTGTATGTTGTACCCTAGCATTTATTTGATTGTTTGGACGTGGTCCGCCACTAATATTAGTAGTACATTCATCTTTTTCATACTCCCCAAGTGGATAATTGTCTTGCACGGATTCGGTTTTATCTTACTACTTTTACTTTTCGACCGTTACACAACCGTATTTCGTTCCTTAATGATTCCCTTTTCTATGTTTGACAGACTTAGAGGAGTAACAGGCTTAGGTAATTATGTAAGGGACATGAATATTTAGAATTTGGACCCTGACTTCACAACAAACTGATTACTCCTCAGCCTTGAAGCGCTATTTATTAAAACAGTTGAATAATCCTAGTAATGTATTAACCGACAGTATAATACACCGAAAGAGCATCAAAGAGAATAACATCAATTTATTATTGATGTTATTGTTACTTACACTAAAATTTTTTCGTAACGCTGCTACCTTAACATAAGGGTCAGGCTTGTCTATCGTGGTGAACGAGGTGAGATATATTAACTAGGACAACCGTCTATCAGGGTCCTAACATGCCAGGCAGGTCGATTAAAGATCGATAAGATTAAAAGCAGCAAACCCAGGGCCCGAGGGCGAGGTCTTACTGTTCAGAGGTGTGATGACAGTCTTTATTTTAACACCGCCAATCCGCCCCCTGAAAAAATAGAAGCTTTAGTTACTTACCGTGAACGCAACTCAGCGAAGTGACTATGATATTCTTCTGTATTGTGCAACTTTTATTTATGTCTTAAACCTTACTGTATACATTGTGGTTTAGAAAAAAGCTTATCTGGATCCGATAATAGAGTATAGTCTGGACGAAACACCTTATAAGTTCAAAATCGGGCAAATCAGAGCGTTTAACAGTTGTGAGAATATAAATCTAAAGAACAGATACTTGATGATGATATTTTACAACAGAGCTAACATTTTACCCACGCATATGAAACTTATATATGTTATTAGCTAGTTTTATGATATTAACGTTTTTATTTCAGTAAGCTGTTTATCCGAAAACAAACAAACGGGTATGTGGACGTATGATCTCTAAACCTTTCATGGAATATTTCTATTCACAAAACAAAGAAATAATGTTAGGGGTTACATTCTTACGGTAGTTGTTTTTTCATCATCCTGAAGCCTGTATATGCTTCCAGTTGGAAATGGGTAATTCTTTTACCCATCATAAGTTAAAATTTCATCAGGTTCGCTGACCTGTCGAGTGCACTTAATCATTCATAGTTATAAGTATACATGTGAAGTATATGAGTAATAAAGACACTGGAATATTAAAGTATCATGGCAACACTAGTCATAGAAAGTTGCATTATTAGTGACACAAAAGCTTATGAGACCAGCTTTATGACAAATTTGGATGAGATGCGCTGAGCAGATCCAATGGAAATGAGATCAGAGTTTAGACTTCCAACCTTAGAAATGACGTCACAATTTGAACTGCTTTCAACATCACCAGACAATTAGACTAGTCTGTGTATATCAGACGAGTACTTCGCACTGTTGACTTCATTTATAATTGTTTTATTTTTCAGCTGTGAAAACTAATCCCTTCATAACGGGAAATCCTATGTAATTGGGTAACTAATTGAGATGCCATTCCATTATTACTCATTTCAAATTCGTTGTGCACACTGGTTATTAGCTCGAATCAGTCTCTTTCAGTCAGTTTGTCTGTTATTATGGTTAGGTGAGCGAGCTTATCATGAAACAGAGCCCCCTATTCATCCATGGATAGTTTATACGTATGTGAGTTAAATAAATGTCTTTCTAATGTAGTTTCAATTTGAATCTGAATTAAAATACCATGTTCAATGGAAATTTTTTACTATTTATTGTAACTGTGGGGCATATTATCACTGCTAGTGTTCTTTTGGTAAAATTGAGAGAGAATAGCATGTCGATTGGGGACATTTTCTTAGTGTTCGGATCCGATCGACCAAAGCTTAAACATATTGCAGATAAAAACAAGTTGATGATTAAAGTCTCAAAACTGTTATTAAAATGATAGACAGAATAACACTTTTAGTGATTAGCTTTTTTATTTTTTCCTACTCTTAAGCACCACCAACTGGGCATTGACATAAGTTTTGCTGTTTGAACCGTGATATTACAAAACTTTAACAGATAGGAAGTCCCTGTTGAATGACCTAGAATTATCTTCAAAGGAAATCATTAAAGCTTGATCATATTGCCCACTAGTTTTTTAATAAATGTATGAAACTGCTGATTGACAGGTTTTCAATGTGAAGAAATGACTTAATAGTTGAAGTGAATTAACTTTTAATCAGTAAGTCGCAGGCTCGAACCTCGTCACATCTGCTTCGGTTTCTGTATCTAAGTAGTATCATTAGCCACCACACAAACAATATAGTTTAGGGAGTAGAAAATAAACGTCCACTTGGTAGATGATTCACATTATAAAGCTACTATATAATAAACAATAATTTCTGTCACCAGCAAAAAGCTAACCAACATCAGTAATTTTTAGAAACTGGTTATTATTTATCTAGAATTAATTCACTGAGCGAAACGTCATAATCTTATATAAGAGAATTGGTCCAGTTATATTGACTAAGAGTATATATCAAATGAGTTGGTAAGGATAATTTTTCTTTTGTTTATAACAGGTGATTTGTAGGCTATTTATTAAGTTAACTGCTTCAATTTAGACGACTGAGCCCTCACTGAAAACATCTATCATATCCGATTACAAAAAGTTATACTTGATCACGGAATAACATTAACTTAAAATTACATCGCGTAGTCTCAAAAATTAATGGGTTTGTTTCCCCCACAGAGGGATTAGTTTAACTAATATAATATCTAAAATAGTAGTTTCGATAATTTTCGGACGCCTAACTAAGACTCGTGAGCTGCAAACACGTGAAAATCAGGCTGGCTTCAGACCTGGTCGTGGCTGCATCGACCACATATTCACCATTCGTCAGGTTCTAGAACACAGGCATACTTATCGGCGTCCGACAATGGTGGTCTTCCTTGACTTAAAAGCAGCGTTTGACTCTGTTGACCGAGAGGTTCTGTGGCAGTGTCTGTCATTGAAAGGCGTACCTCAGAAGTACATAAACCTTGTGAAAGCTCTTTACTCGAACACTACTAGTCGGGTCAGAGCCTATGGCGAACTGTCATCCGCTTTTGCAACCTCAAGTGGGGTCCGTCAAGGCTGTCCACTTTCTCCATTTTTGTTTAACTTCGTCATAGATCTACTAATGGAAATAACGCTCTCATCGACTGAATTCTCAGGTATTGATCTCCTACCAGGAGGTCCACTTATTGACTTAGAATACGCAGATGACATAGTCCTGTTTGGTGAAGACGCTGATGAAATGCAGAGTCTTTTGGTAGCATTGAGCGACAATGCCAGAATGTTTGGGATGCGCTTCTCTCCCTCCAAATGCAAGTTGTTGCTTCAGGACTGGTCTGCGTCAACACTTGAACTAAGGATAGGGGGTGAAGTAGTCGAACGCGTCGACAGCTTCACTTATCTTGGAAGTCTGATCAGCCCTAATGGGTCGGTGCCTGACGAAATCTCAGCACGGATTCGAAAAGCTCGTTTGGCCTTTGCCAACTTACGTCATCTATGGCGTAGGTGAGATATTCGTCTATCAATTAAGGGACGAGTATACTGCGCGGCAGTTCCGTTCTACTATACGGCTGCAAAACTTGGCCTTTAAGAGTAGAAGATATTCGTAACTTACTAGTATTTGACCACAGGTGCCTTAGAAATATTGCGGGTATCTGCTGAGATCACCAGGTAAGTAATAGTGAGGTTAGACGTGGGGTATTAGGGAATGATGGTAAATCAGTTGATGAGGTTATGAATCTTCATCGACTGAGATGGTTGGGCCACGTGCTGCGTATGCCTGAACACCGATTACCGCGACGCGCAATGGTAACCGGTGTTAGGGATGACTGGAAGAAAGTTAGGGGCGGCCAAACCAAAACGTGGCATCGGTGCTTGAAGTCACAAACTTCTGGTCTGAGCCATGTTGGTAGATGCAGACTACCTGGTTGGGGTCCGCGTGACTATCGTGACCAATGGTTGGAGACTCTTGGTGACATGGCTCAGAATCGATCACAATGGCGTCGGTGTATACACTCTCTTTCTTCCTTTAAACTAAGAGAATAAAATCGCTTCATATCATTCTTTCTAGGAACTAATTCTATCTTCCTGTACTATCTCCTTATACACACTCTTTCTTCTATATATTACCACCACTGAATTAACTACTTCTATGAATCCGGTGTTCATCTTGTTGTGCTAATGCGGTATGGCAACTTGGACCAATGCATACATGTGCCTGGTCTTACGTTGCAACTGACTGACTGATTTTAATCTATAGGTAGTTTCCTTCATGGAACGACATCACTTCGGGTACCGCATTCCGACATGGTTCGAATATACAGTCCTGAGTTCCCACTACTGAAGAGTCCCACGCTAGGATGAAACGGCGGTTCAGCACTCCATAATCTTCATGGCTACGCTAACTGATGCTAATCCTATACAAAAATCACTGAGGAATAGGTTTGTCTCCGATTTTGAAAGTAATGATTTTATACTCCTGAAAACTTTGTGATTTGTAACTTTCATTGATTACTCAACTGTTACAGGATTTGTATTATGAATCCTCTTCATTACAATACAAATGACTTTAAAGTGGCAACCAGTAATTATATGATTTAGTTTCATTTCATATCATTCAAGATAATTACCGAATATTTCATTAATTAAAGTGATACCTCTCCATATATTTTTCTCCCTGTATTTCATAGATTGGCTCTGGTTTGATCGCATCAACTGGAATAACGAGTCGTTTCTTGACACGTTTATCAATAACGATAATCCTCTTAAGTCAGTTGTACATAACATATGCGTTTTGTTTAGAAAAACGTCTAGGGTATTCAAAATGTATCCGTGCACGTATTAGTTTAAGGTGTTTGACTACGATTGGTATATATTTTCGACTGCTTGGAGTGAATGGCTATAATGATAAATGTAAACAGACAGATTCACACAATAAAAATAATCAAGTTGATCAATTACACAAAATCAAGCCAACTACAAGTGTTTATGCTTTTGGCTTAACTATAATGTCTGTATCATTATGTTTATTAAGTATATTCTGTATACCTGTAGAAATATTCCAATTGGATAGAGATATTCAACTGACAGAAATTAATTCAACATTAATTCTATCAATTGACAGTTATATATCTAAATTGTTAAGTCTAATTTTAGGTATATGTTTGTTAATAGCTGGTATTATCTACTCAATTCCTGTAATTATACATGACCAATTTTTATCAAACAATATATTTTCTTATAAAAATTATTTATTTCAGTTTGCTGATTATCTTATCGGATTTTCTTTTTTAATGTTATCCTTAATTCGTGATTGTAATTTTAATTATTGGCATATTAAAGGATGTGAATTTTGGTTAGAAATACGTGTACTTCTAGAGAATATTACTATTCTCTTAGGTATTTTTGTGATAAATAATTTGCTTATTAACAATAGTGTAAGTAGTCTAAATGAGAAATATTTAAAAAAAACATTAAGAGTGAATAGTAAATCATTAAAAAGTCAATAAGATTTATGTAAATAAAAGAATTTTTCAGTCTGTTACTTTAATTTCTACTTCATTTTTCTTTTATTAAGAGATATTTGTTTGTTTGTATTTAACTGGTGAATTCTATATATTTTGTTTAATGAAATAGAAAATGCGAACAATAATCTTTTATACAATATGAGTCAGTCAGTAATAATATGGAACTTTGTACGTATGTACATCAGTTCGAGTTGCCATACTATATTAGGACAGAGGTGCAGTTGTCGATTCAAATCCCGTAATGGTCGAGGTAGTAAGAGTATAAGCAGTAATCGGAAAAAATTAGAGTTTGAAGATGTTATACAAGTGTAATCCAGTGAAATAAATTTGGAAAGAGAAATAGAAAGGGACATGAGGAATTTAGATCAGAATTCGGGAAAATACAAACAGTGGATGCACCTGTGCCATCACAAACGATTTTGAGCTTTCTTCCAACTTACTCCGACACCACAAAACATCGCACGCCGGGGCAGTCGGTGGTCGGGCATACGTAACACGTGTCCCAGCCATCGTCTGAATTTCTTCGCTCATATCTTAGCTACAAAGTCGTTATTAAGTGTCGTTAACTTAAGGTCTTAATAAATCTCAATATAATGAATTGTCCATCAGAGAAGGGTGAATCCGTTTGAATAAGGAAATTACAACATAGTTTGAATGGTTTTGGTAAATAACCGGTATGATAATAATAGAATATTAAAGATTATTGCATTACTTAATAGGTGAAAATGTTTTATTGGGTCAAAACTTAGCTTCAACAATCAAAAATTCTAAACGGTTAACCTATAAGCGTCTTATCAATAGAAATGAACCATGTAAATAACATTTTCGTTATTACGAAGTCTTTTACCTCCCCGTATTTTTACGAATTATTTGTCATACTGAGTGCGAATAAAGTGACCAATGCTTTATTCATCGCATAAATTATTTGAACTGAGTTGCATTTTCGCTTTCTAAATAAACAATGAATTATCATTACGACTACAGGTGTTTATAATGAGTCGTCAAATATATTGTTCAGGAAATTATTTTCAATGTCTATTGTAAATTGAATCAATAAATATGGGAATATGATTAGGAACGCATGTATGGGGGCAAAGACTATTAGAACACACTTGTTGTTACCCCTAACTTCTGTCTCTTTAACAAAATGAATAAAGTTGAAGCATCGCAAATCAACGGATTTCTGTTCAATTTGAGAAGTATTATACTAGTCATAATGTTCAGTTCGATTTGACGTCTTGTATGAGTGCTACAATTAAACAGTAGCCTAAATCTAACTGAATTTAGATTATACAACAGTTATACCAGTCTGTAATTAAAATTTACCTATTGACAAATTAATTTGCTCCCTGTCGAGATCATTTAGTCATCAAATATGTCTATAATCAATTGAAAAGATTTCTGATTCAATGTGAAACCTTTGGGAAAATATTCATCTTACTACATAAACTTAAATTTCGTATCACTGTTCTGAATAGAAGTTCTATGAACGATCTTTCGGATGTTGGTTAATAGATGGTATGCAATGGAATAATTATATACAAAATTTCGAACACAAGAATAATTGTCAATAGAGGCCATTTATTTAACAATTGATAAATACAAAAACTATACAGGTTGTTTACTCATATGGAATTAATCCTTAAATATCAGGCTCAGTTGTTGTCCTGTCATATCAAAATTAAATTTGCCATCATAAAGATCTTAACTTTGAGAGAACGCTTTAGACTAAAATATTAATACTTAAACTTGAAAGTTTAAGAATTGTCCGTTAATTCACGTATAAAGTGTTAAGGATTATTGAATGTGTTTATTCGTATATATAGGTCAGAATTATCTAGACCTAATTTTTAAACAAATTACGTTTAAGTATTATATACGATGAACGGTTGAACATATTGATTTTAATTAAGATCAGTGAATTGAATTGTAACTAATTATTGGAATATTTTAAAGTTCTTTGATAGATAAATACTAGTCATTCTGAAGCGAACTTTTATGCATTTTGATTTATCAATGAGTACTAGGTAATGTTGTTGTTTGTCTAATCCTTAGTGCCGAGTGGTAACGTCCGAGACTTTTTAACTAAATAATCCCAGTCCGAAATCACCAAGGTGCATCCGCTCCCTCTAAGTTATAGGTACGTTTTTCCGACGAGTCTCAACTAACACAATCTTGGTTGAGGATTTTCTGTCTCATACCTCCGACCATCGAACATTAGATTTCTATCCATCAAATGGTTTTCATAGATTATTAACTAACAGACCTTTCTAAAGTTCGAACAAAAATTTCAATGGAAGCGTGATTTCATAAATCGCAAGAAAGATGTATTAATACATCAATGTCCTCATTTTTACTTGTTAGTTCTTTTCTCCAAACTGTATATTCATGTCATCAAATTTAGAACATTAAAAGGTTACACTTCATCAAGTAAAATAACTTCAAACAGAAATACCGTTATTTCTAAAACAAAACTAAAATATACGCGGAGATAGTGGCCAGCATTGATGCAAACAATTCACTGCAAGCACTGACCTGTTTACGATTAGAAAGCTTTTATGACGTTTATGTACTTTTTTTATCGAACGTTTCGACGATATAATGGTATGAAAAACTGGTTACGGTAACCAAACGCAGCCTTTGGATCAAGAAATACAAGTACGTTCGGACGTATACTGTTATACATGCATTCTGAAACCTGAAGGGTGGATATTTAGTTCATACATTCATTTTGAACATAAACAATCTGGCTTTATTGCTTTAACTATCCCAGAGTTCCAGTTTAACATTGGATGATTGTCAGTCCTAATATCTCAGACAATGTTAGTCAGACTGATTCCTCTCCTTTCTGATAAACTGGGACAACTAAGATTTATGACCAGCCCTTAAAGTAGCTAATATCTCAGTAAAACTGGACCACTGTCCCTGCAGACCTTTGTAAATGAACCATCAAGACTTGCTCCTCAAACTCGTTTAGTTGCTCATAGCTGAAAGTTAGAGGCCTGACCTCAATTAAATTGGCTTCCAAAGTCATACTTTAAATGATGTCAGATTGTCTTAGAACATATACCTGTACCCAGCTAGTTCATTCTTTTCAATATCCTTAAAGTCTCTCAGTTGAGACTTCTGCATTAACGAAGACACGGATACGTGCTCCAGAAAAGGTGAAAATTCATGTTAAACCAATATAATTTAGTGTATTTGTACCAACGGTTAAGTTGATTTTGCAGATTCTGAAGTTAGACATTACCTATTATGTCCAAGGTTAATAATACTACAAAAAACCAGTCAAGTGAACAAACGGTAACCGTTATATCTTCTAAATTAAAATCATAAGTTATCTTCCCACTGACTTTCGATATTACATGAAAATACTACAATTGTTGAAGATGAAATAGTTACTTTACTTTAAAGTTTCGACAACAAAAAACAAATTTGTATTTATAAGTTAAATTAGAAATTGGAGAAAAATTAATGAGGATTCACTATAAATAGCCAGTAAGTTAACCGAATTCGTGATTAATGTGTTCATATGGTCTAGACAGTTCTCGTCTCCGGTTTCTTGTGTTTATACTGATTGAAATAGATTAGCATTTTCTTAATCTCTCCAATAGCCAAACCAGGATTCAATCCCTGAAAAGGTTCACATGCAATGTATACGAATATAAATTAACACATATTTACAAACTACCTAGGAGCATTAATATTAGAAGGAAGTTACGTGACTAGTCACATTTTTGAGATTAACATTTACTGTAAGATAAGTAATAATGACTGGGAGGCAAGCTACCACACAACATATATATGTATGTACAGACTGATAATACGTATATATGGATGTCTAAGAAACATATACAACTTAGTGGTCACAACCTGAAAAGGCAATGGGTCCCAGTTGTCAGTCATGATCCTTATTATTTTAAATGTTATAGTCTTTAGTGTACGTACCAAGGATCAATTGCCGAAATTTTGTTTTTCAACTCGCATAATGTCCTCACAAGCTAGTTGATCATGTCAAGCATACGGAACTTGTCCTTCATATGTTGTTGCCTTTATCCCCGTGGCTACATAGTGTGTCAGTCTTGTTACTGTCACACGTTATCGACGTCCACGGATCATACTGTACTGTTCATGACACTGCATCCCCAGCGATCGCTTACCGCTTTAAGTATAGCTAACCTAAAAGATACTTCCTTCAAAATTTCTCGAGTGATATATGAACAAACACTTGCAAGCTAACAATACATCAGTGCCTAAGTTAATTTGCTCCAATCGGCGCATATATATCTGGTGCGCCCTTGTACCAATATTTATGTGTTCAAATAAAATAATTTGCTCCAAAATGACAATGAAAACTTTAATGAAAGGCACCTGAGTAAAAAGACCGAAATACTACAAGGTTATTTCCAAAAATGCATAGACCAGTTGTCTAATATTAAGTGAAGGAAAAGTCAGATTTTGCTAATATCGTCGTTCTTGGGGAAGGATCTTTTACTATCGATTACAAAAACCAAATCATCATCATCATTAGCAAAACCCTAATAGATTACTCAGGACCGAATTGATCTGTTGTTGAACATTAGTTCAAGTATTATAAAACATGCACACAATGAGAGATTGCAATGTCAACAAAACAAAACTGAATACAAGGAGTGGTGATATGCTAATAGTTGGAATCAGTCTTCAGAAAAATGTAACCGTTTCAAGAAAACGTTCAAATAATTTTTATAGTGGAACTGAATGTAAATGTTTGGCACGTTTAAATCAATTCACTTACTTTTGGGCAAGTTTCTGTACAATTCATAATAGTATGACATCGATAAAGTGACCACTTGTTTTGGAACTCAGCCAAACGTTCATACGTATAATCATCACGTGAATCGACTAACCATCTGCAAGAGATATATCGAAAATGCACTAAAATTTTAGCTGGATAATTTTTGGTACATAACTAAGTTAAGTAATGAGTTTATTTTGCAAAACATTAACAATCTTACCCAGAAGAAAGGATAATTCGATAAACTAACCAAAATTATATATATATAGTCAATGTCGTTAATTGAGATGCGAGGATTACGAATTATGTTACGTAGAATGAATATTTTCAACATCATTTAATTCATATTCTAGTAAGTGCGAGCAAATAGCTTTGCTCGTTAATCTACGAGAATATGTACAAAAAGAAACAACAAGCAGTAGTAATACTAAAATAAGTTACTTTTAATTGAATTGTTTACGCACTGGGAATTTGAAGGACAATTGGTGCAAGAATTTACTTCTGTTATTTACATTTACAGCCAGACAATTTAAGCTGAGTTCTCTTAGTAATTCAAACTTATAGGTAGGACATTCAACCAACTTCCATTTAAAAGTTATTTAATAGCAACCAAGACTCATCACAAACGTGTTGTAACATCGATTACACAAAACTAAGTAAAATACTCTTTATTTTAAAGTGAAATCTTATCCAGAAATATAAATAACTCCGTTCATAAAACACCATTTAATGAATAAATTTGTAAAATCTTAGGTATTTGTTTGACACTTGCCTGTAAGCCTGAAGTAGAACAGCGGGACCCAAATACTTATCACCATTCCACCAATAAGATGGACACGATGTAGAACAACAAGCACACAGAATGCATTCATAAAGCCCATCTAACTTTGCTCTGTCTTCCACTGACTGATAATAAGTCTTTTTCCCAATATCTTCTTCAGACACATTCTTTTTCTTCAAATAAGGCTCAATAAAACGGTACTGAGCATAAAAATTATTCATATCTGGAATTAGATCCTTAATTACGTACATATGAGGCAATGGATATATTTTAGTTGTCTTGCTAACATCTGGATCTATTTCCCTGAAAAAGCAAAAACAAATGCACAAGTACTGGTAATGATATATTAATTACATGGACTTCAATACTAAAAATATGAAGGGAAACAATTCAGAGGAGTAGCATACCATATACAGGCAAGGTGATTACGACCCTCTATGTTCATTGCACAAGAACCACATATTCCCTCACGGCAAGAACGTCGAAATGTCAGAGTAGGATCTTGTTCATTCTTTATCTTGATTAAAGCATCCAAGACCATGGGTCCGCAATCATTAAGATCGACTTGATAATTTTGCATAGTGGGTTTTTCTCCACGTTTATCTGGGTTCTGTGTGAAAAAAAAGAAATGTTGATAAGTACTTAAGAAAGTATCCATGGAAATTTTATTGCGAAAAAACCATAAGGTCAAACTCTCAATACAGATCGTGATTCTCCAATTCACAAAGACAAGTTGTGTTAAATACTCACTCCCATTCAAATAGCTTTCCAAACAATCAACATCGATGCTGACATTGTCAGCTTCACGAACTCTAATAGCCACGGAGACTCAACTATGAATCACGGCCATATCACGTTACAGATGTGAGACGCTTACAATTCTCTAAACGGCCAATTTAGTAGTCTAACTTTCCTCCAACTATTTGCCTTTTTGTTTGCTAGTATTAGTTTTAAATGTAAGGTATGTGTAGACCAATATTATCCCATTCTATTGTATTCAGTCGAAGATGACCTGACCCTTCTATCCCATAAACACCAACGAATGCATGTCAAGACAAACAGTGAAGCAGCAGCCTGTATCAATAGGCCTCAACATACACAAAGGAAAAAACCAGATCCCCGAATACAACACAGAGAACACCAACCCAAACTCACTTGATGGAGAAGCTCTGGAACATGTGAAATCTTCCACGTACCTGGGAAGCATCATCGATGAACAAGGACGACATACGGAACTCAAAACAACTGTCAGTCAATATCAAAGTCAGTCAGTCAGCTGCAACGTAGGACCAGGCACATGTATGCATTGGTCCAAGTTGCCATACCGCATTAGCACAACAAGATGAACACCGGATTCATAGAAGAAGTTAATTCAGTGGTGGTAATATATAGAAGAAAGAGTGTGTATAAGGAGATAGTACAGGAAGATAGAATTAGTTCCTAGAAAGAATGATATGAAGCGATTTTATTCTCTTAGTTTAAAGGAAGAAAGAGAGTGTATACACCGACGCCATTGTGATCGATTCTGAGCCATGTCACCAAGAGTCTCCAACCATTGGTTACGATAGTCACGCGGACCCCAACCAGGTAGTCTGCATCTACCAACATGGCTCAGATCAGAAGTTAGTGACTCCAAGCACTGATGCCACGTTTCGATATTCAATCAATATCAAAGTAAAAATCTTCAATACGAACGTCAAGACAGTCCTACTCTACAAAGCTGAAACTTGAAGAACCACTACAACCATCATCAAAAACGTACAAGTAGTTATAGAAAATCGTCTACGAAAGATACTCAATATCCGTTGGCCGGAAGCCATCAGCAACAGCCAACTGTGGGAGAGAACAAACCAGCTTCCAGCTGAAGAGGAAATTAGGAAAAGACGTTGGAAGTGGATAAAACATGCATTACGGAAATCACCAAGCTGTATCACGAGGCAAGCTCTAACTTGCGAAATCCTGAAGGGAAACAGAAAAGAGGAGGACCGAAGAACACGTTACGTCGGGAATTGGAAGTAGGCATGAAAAGGATGAGTAGCAACTGGAAATGACTGTTCAAAACAGAGTTCGATAGAGGATTCTAGTGGGCGGCCTATGCTCCTCCAGGTGTGGTAACAGGCGTGAGTAAGGAAGCAGTATCCAGGATACCTTCAGGTAAATGATACAACATATAAACCCTTACCAAAGGTTTAGTGTTAAATTATGTCATGAAACGAAATAAATATTGGAAGGAAACGAAGTTATCAGACCTCGAATACTAATAATTCCAATAAAAGCAAGAACAGTTGTAACGGTGGAGAATTTCATTTTAACCCCTAATCCAAAACATAATAAACTACTGAAACAAGACTTACCCATCTGTAAATGGAAAAGGTCTTCATAAGTGGAGCTGATTCCGTTGCAGTTGAAGCGCAACGAGCCTGTATTTCAAAAAAGATGAAAAAACACTACATAGAACGTAGAAGATATGGGACGTCTTTACATGACTATTGGGATCCAAAGCACCACTATTAAACAATTGTAATGCATTGGAACAAAAATTATGCACGTACAGGAATTTCTTCGAAGGTGCGCACGTGCATAGGGCTTTCTACAAAAATTGAATTGAGATATAGTATGATCACAGCACCTTAAAAACCAAAATGTACGAGTACAAAAATCATAGTATCAAATTGACGAAATGAGTTTCCTGGTTTTTTACCTAAGTAAAGATTTACAAAGGACCAGTTGTGACCAATAGGGTCTGAAAGGATAAAACAGTACAAGGGATTCATGTAATGAGTTTGAACTAGAGTTGCTGGATAAAACCTACGAAAGATGAGGGTTAGACAAAATATGACGACAGAAACGAGATTTTCCAACAAAACTATATTCTATATCAACCACCTTTAATAGACATTCTGATCAATAATCAGACCAGGTAGATTTGTTTAGCTGATGTAGACTCATTTACATTCACTCAGTTAACCCTTCTTCATCACTGACAAGCACGGATCTTTTAGCTTGGAGATGTGTGAGAAAGTACTCTGCAAAAGCAAACACTATTTTAGGCAATATTTTCGTCTTACTACTAAAAGTTTAAACCAGAGTCTGAAAACAGTGGTGCGGAACTTCTGAGAGTTTCGCACATAGGCCGAAATCAGAATATCACCTAAAATTGCGTCAGCAAATGCAAATAACTAGTAATAGACTCCTATTACATATATAGTGTGTTAACAAATTCTTATCACAGTATAACTGACTTACGAGACTGAAGGCTGATGATAGCGAAAAAGTCAGGGACTTCCACATAATGAAATTTAATCTGCAGTAGTTTCTTCCTTGAGTGTTGGAAACACGAAGATGTCAAGCTGAATATACGTGAAATATGCAGCCCAAAACTCGAAACACAAGAAACAAAATACAGTAATACAGAGGTCAAGGTCAATGACTCGTGTATTCCGCGCCATTCAGTTATCAGTATCCAATGGTTGAAATGGTTGTGGACGGAATAGAAGCTTTCGCCTAAAGGGCTTCCGTGTCCAGTAGTAGTGTAACACCAATACCTTTAGGCAGGAACCTAGGAATATTGACAATGAAAGGGGAAAAATAGATTGGTAAATTATATTAAGATATTATTCTTAGTCCTTAAAAATAGGTTAGGTTTCCTCTTAAAGGACTCCTAGAAAGTCGCTTGGATAAGCTCAGCACACAGCGAATTCTAGCATTTGACGACTCTTGAGGAGTAGAAGTTGTGTCTACAATCCGCTCTACTGTGTTGTGTCTCCAGTTTCTGGGTGCCATCCCTTAGGTTTATTTTAGAGTTAAACTTAAGAAGATGTTTAAGGGGATGTCTAGAAGTATTAATAATGCTGTAAGCAATTAGATGGTCATCTATGAGACGTTTTTACTCTAATGGGTAAAGGTTCAGTGATTAGGGGCGCTCTTCATAAGGCTTGAATTTGAGTCCCCTAACTGATTTTGTGGCTCGCCGTTGGATACGTTCCAGAGCGTCCTTATCCTTTTAGAGTGAGGGAGGAAATACCATGTTTCCGTACTCTAAGTGGGGACGACCGAAAATGCTGGAGATTATGTAGAAAGGTTTTCCGTCAAACTGGCCAAAAATGCGCTTTGATGTTATCAGTGCAAGGTTTACTCGAAAGGTATTTTTGTCACGGCGTAAGACTTCAAATCATATGGTACAAGCACTCCCAAATCATTTCAACTTGGGATTCTTTTGGAAAGGAGTTTCCTAAGTTGTAGCTGTAGTCTGCAACATATCTCAGATTGACTACTTTACACTCTGAAGTGTTAAAAGTAACTCTATTGTCATCTGCCCAACTTTGAAGTCGAGTCAGATCCTCTTGAAGTGCCAGTACATCCTCTTGGTTGCATATTTCTCTCCAAAGTTTCACATCATCAATAAAAGTAATAAAAATAGCGACAACTGTTTAGTAAGATCACTTATATAAATCAAGAAAAGAAGAGGCTTCAGTACTGAACCCTGGGGATCTCCATTAGGATATTTCATAGCCCGAGAGAGTGAAGTTAACCCTGACCTTAAAATGTCGATTTTTTTAGATATGAAGTGAGCCAACCAATTAAGGGTGATTTGATACATAGTCGTTTGAGCTTATTGCTAAGACATATATGGTTGACCCCATCAAAAGCTTTTGAGTCAAGGTAAATGACATCAACCTTTTCCTTGCGATCAAGGATAGTTGTCCATCTGTCCACCGCAGTCAGCTGGTTGGTTATACAAGAATGACCCTTCTTGAAACCGTTCTGCTGGGGTGAAAAGGAGTTTAAGGATAATAAATAGTCTTGTATGCCGTTGTATATCAGGGACTCCATAATTTTTGAAGGCATAGAGAGAAGAGCCATTGGTCAGTAGCTTGAATGTTCGCTGCGTCCACCTCCCTTGAAAATTGGTGCGATGTGAGCCAGCTTCCAAATTTCCGGTAATGTGTCTCGGCTTAGCGAGTGTGAGAACATCACGCTAAGCAGTGTTGCCAGGATTGAAGCTGGTTCCCTCAGTATAGCAGAATTAACCATATCCAGGCCAGGAGAAGTGTCTTTTCTTGGGTGCTGCAGTTTCCGATACATTGAGTCAATGCTCAGGTTCATTTCGAAAAGTCTTGTGCAGTTGCAGATGAAGTGTGCATCAATATACTTAATGTGGGTCGCTTGAAATGTCTGAGAGTCTACTTCACCTTCACGTCCCTTTTTTCTGTCATCGCGAAACAAAGACATCCCGGGTATTGCTAGCTGCTGGTCCGTAAACTAAGAAGAAATTCAAGTTTCAGATATTCCGACCAAACAAGCATTACTAGCATTGCTGAGTTTGTGCAGTTCATCCATTTTGTTCGGCAAACCCGCGGCGTTCATATAAGCAGTTTATGCTCTCAGTTTGAAATCCGTGAGCTTCCACTTCTTGTTTTTTGTACGAGCTTCATGTATGTGGACAAGTAGCCTAGCTATACAAGATTTATCGAGTTGGGAGTATTTGTTCTTTCCACGTTTTTTTATAATCCAGACAGTCCACAAGTGAAGTGGTTAGTTCCAGCTTGCCTTTGTTTTTGATCCTGGCGTTGCGTGGCCTATCCGGATGCCCAAGGATTCCAGTTGATAACCTACGACTGTTGGCACGAAAAACTCGCGAGATTCCTTAGGTGTGTTCCTGATGATATTTCGCCCAAAATACAGCATGACAGGCAGTATTCTTACATTCCCATCTGATTTCATTAAATGACTAGCTAGTGGGATATTCTGTAGTCGGCAGTGTTAGTGAAAGTTACACGAAGTAGCCTTGTGTGATTTTGATGCTAATATCTTTGTCGCGAGCTAGTATAAACCAATTGATTTCTGTTTCGATACACTTCTGTGTATTCCTTGATGTCCAAATGGCCATTCGACTGAACTAATGATGGTCAGTTTGGTAGTTACTTGTAGATTTGTATATAGTGTAGTTGGAGTGAGAACTTTTGTCTCAGGGTGGTAGGAACCACGGATACTACCATCTAGTACATTACTAGACAGCAGTTAGGTTGGCTATAAAAATAAAAATATCGATAAATTATGCTCGCATAATGTCCCGAGTTGTTGATGATTTGTTACGTTTTCTCTTAGAGGACTCTTAAGAAGTCTCTTGGACTACTTTAGCAGGCAACGGGTCACAGAATCCCTCTACACACAGAGTAAAATGTGTGCCCACAATATGTCCTGCTATGCTGTGTCTCGAATTTCTGGGTGTTAGCCTTAAAGGTTTTGTTGGAACTGATGTTAAGCAGGTGTATAGGGGGATGCTCAAGAGTGGTAAATAAGTCACTTTTGAGACGCCTATACTCTTTTAGGTAAACATCTGGTGAGTAATGACGTTTTTCGTAGGGTCTAAATTTGAGTCCTCAAGCGTGGCTCGACTTTGGATACATTCCAGAGTATTTTTGTCTTTTTGGAGTAAAGGAAGAAACGCCATTATTCCATGTTGTAAATGGGGTGGAAAGAGAACTGTCAAATATTTACTGGAAATTACTACTGTCGAACTGGTCAAAAGTGCGCTTCAAAGTTCCCATTGCATAGTTTGTTCGGAGGGCATTTTTGTCGCAGTTAGCTCAAGAATCACTCCTGAGGCTACTGTTGAGTTGGAGGTGACGCTTTCGTCGATGTAGTTTGTATGCAGCGGTTGGGATGTTTTAAAATACTGCCCTGTGAGGAGCTCAAACGCATCGTCTTTGTTAATCGGGCCACTAAGAATATTTTGCATTCGGCTTGTCGAAGAGAGGGTGCACGCCGGACTAAGCTTTATGGATAAGAGACACATTCAACGTCTAGCTTGATCTGATACTGAGGCCCGTCTTTACCTATCGCCTATAAATGTCGATTTCCTGCCTGTTTGAACTGCCTGTACGCGTTGTTGATAGTAGTTCGTTTGTATTTTGCGTCTTAGCATTTGAAGATTATGATTCTTCATGACTGTACGTTGCTTGTGACCTTTAGAGACCATTGATAAGACAGGCTGGTCCTAGATACATAAAACTGTGCGTAGTAAAAATCCCGATGGGCGTTCGCCTTAAGTTGAAGGAGAACTGCCCAGTCCAACTGCCGTAGATTGTTCTGTTAGGCTGACACGCTCAAATGTTTGAAATTCAAATGCCTGCCGTTAGTGAGATGTTTCAACTTAGTTTTGTTGGCAAAATTGAAGGCTATGACAGCGTAACTACTCTTTCGCAAGAAACCAATATTAAGAGGTTATCAATTAGAGACTCTTCGTTGATGGAGACACAGTCTAAGCATGACGGTGTCCGATTGTCCCTCCACAGAGTTGCCAACTCTACTTCGAATAATCACAAATCTTCGAACGAGTTGGGAAAAACGAGCTTCAGTAGAGTTATCACCTTCAATGTACGTGTGTCCAACGAAGTTGGCTTTAGAAAGATTGAAGTTTCCTAAATTTGGGTGTAAGTGTGACCATGACGAATAAAGCCGAACAGTGCCTCCAGTATACGTTTATAGCGCTCGGTGCCAGCAGTAGCCTCCCTGTAGATGTCCACAACTAGATATCTCAGGGCGTTGGACAACCTCACTGAGCATCCTACGGACTCATGAAAACTGAAAAGCGCTTGAGTGTATACTTTATGTGCTGCCATGCGAGATCGTAAGTACATGGTCATCACTTCATATTGGTGAGTGGGCATGGACCTTCACAAAAAGAGGCTTGACAATTACCAGCACAAAATCTAAATTTAGGGGTTTCCTTCTCTGTCCTATTCCTTGGCGTCACACGTACTCAGTCAATTCTGAACTTTTGATGGCTGTGGAACCACTTTATAGAAGCTATAACCTACTATTTAAGATTCAGGGACGAAGTTCTGAAATCTCTAGCTATCACTATTTGGTTGAACCCTGGGAATGGTAACTTTAGTATAATCTGTAACATTTTATCTTTTTGGTGCTAGAATCTATGGAGGGCCATAATATTCCACCGAGGACATTGAAGCAACACCAGCGTGGTTCTATCACTTCGGTTAAATTGATACTGTGTATGTGGATTCCCACACCAACTTCAAGTTGTGTATCCCTTGGTGGTATTAGTTCTCAATGAGACATAACGGATAGTGCCTGTTGGGATAAAAAGAATTGTTTGTAGGACCTCTGGAAGAAAATTCTTTGGCTAATGATTTCTTGCACTCTTGACAACATTTATAATGTGAGCCGTGTTGCAATTTGGTATTAAGGAAGGGCTAGTCGAACCTTAGTCAGTCAGTTGGTTTGTAATGGTACTGGTTCTCAACCACACAATTTAAAGTTCGGAAATGGTGAATGCGGAACACTTTACCTTTGTGGCATGGCCCGAACATATAGGTGTGGTCGCCTTATGTAACCCTCTGATTTTCATATTAAACGTATTATTCTGTTATCAGTTCAGATATATTATTCAGAAGTCCTAAGCGGTAACCAGTGATTGTCACAATAGGACGAGTCGTTATCCATAATGAAGTGGATCCTACGCGAGGTTTGATAACTTAGACAGTTACATCATGACAGATACACAGTTGGTGATTACGTCTGTCCTTCTAGCAGAAAAGATAAATGCACTTAATACCGACCTGAAGTGCAATCAGACAACCCCACCATATCCGAAAAGTGTAATGCATTTCAATCTAACTACGCCATCTTTGATGCTGAGCGATATCCATGTTTCAGTTGTCAGTTTTAAGATATAACTGAAAGAACATGTTTTTGATTTCTCCTAGTTTGCCACATAGTCCTTTTGACTTGCTAGAAAAGTTTAGGTGTATTCATAAACAATAGAGATAAAACTCAAGGACACGAAAATAATATCACGAAGTGTGGAAAATATATGAATAATATTACATAAAGGAACAGACTCAGATTATCGTTTGACGTATCAGTACACATTAAACTCACCACTAAAGATGCCGTGGAAATTGACAGCGCTCTTGTCCGTAACATCTTAATAGTCTAGAGATACCAAACATAGTCAGAACAGAAGTTAGAAATATAGGAGTTCAAAGATAATATTTAGGAGATATTCGACATGACGAGAAGTGCTTGATCTAACCTGGCCAGCTGTTGCGAGCAGTACGTAGCAACAAGCACCCAAATGTGATCCGGTGATCAGCATCAACGTCGGAGACTTAATAAAATATTTATTTTAAAGGTATATTTACCGCGACACTGATTAGTGTTAGAACATGCGAGTGACAAGATCACCATCCGTAAGATATTGCTGATAAGCTGAAATCATGCAAAAAAACAAGAAAAGAATGGAAAAAAATCAACCACTTTATACAGTCTCGTCACAAATAATTGAATTTAGGCGGTCTATTCTCATCGAATCTCTACTTCAAGGTTAGGGCGATGTGGTTTTATCTTAATGTGTTTTTGCTTGGTATTTGGGTTATGCATTATATGAAAAATGTATGAAATTTAAAAATTTAGTTCGACGTTTCATATGACTGGTCTCCAAATTTATATTTACCGAAACTGATGTCTCGGGGGCCCTTGAATTGAGATTATCCAATCAACCTATAAAGCGGGAATGATGGTGAACAACGTGGAAATAAAGAGGAAATGCGTTGGAAAATAAAAGGGAAACAATAGGGAAACGCGCCAAAATGTCTGCCTTTTCGTCTGTCTGGGGGAAATAATGCGGTTATTCCCCTTTATATCCCTCTGTGTTCCAAACGTCGCTGAATTGTCTACTTTCCGCCTAAATATACGCCGAATTGTCTATTTCTCGTTTAAATACACGACGAATTGTCTGCTTTTTGCCTACACACACGACAAATTGTCTACTTTTCGCCTAAATATGCACCGATTTATCTTATTTTGCTTCCGCGTTCGAAACACCTTTGGCATAACCCCAAACGTCTCTTGTGTTTGTCTTTATTTCCACAACACACCACACGAAAACTGCAATCCACGTAAAAATGGTATATGTTTGAAGAGTTTTATCGAAAAGAAAAAAACGTGATATTGTACAACATTATGAGTTGTCGGCAGATTCTAGAGTATCAATCGTTATGTATTTTAATTGTATCTGCCAAGTCTTATTGTAATTTGAAAATATCTACAAAAAAAGGACAGGTGATGTATTATTAATTAGATACGCGTACTTAATTGCATGTGCATTTAAAATGAAACAGGATTTCTCAACACTTAGTCAAAGAGTTTCCCATGCAAGTAAGAAAGTAAGCGCATGTTTAAAAAAACGTTTATTGAAAACGAAGTTGAACATGATAAATATTCCACTTGTTATTGTTTTGCATAACTATCTACTTGCAGCTTCACTTATGGTCATGTTCATTAATACTGAAGACTCTTTCTAGAATGCCCCCAAGTGCCCTGGTACGTTCGAGAGTGGGGAGAGTCCGCTCTCCATCTCGAAAGGCTCTCACAAGGCTACGCGTATATAATTGGTTCATGCGCCATTTGTTCCTTCAGGATACTGGAGCCCATGTGCACCATTGGTTTGGGATCGGGTTAAAGCGCTGGACATTTTCTTTTCGTCCTCTCGTTTTCTTAGACAACACCCCCGCCACGAGAAGACAGTGAGTAGGACGTCCCTGGTATAGGCTGTATACGTGTGGCATTGTGAGAGCATTTCGAGAGGGAGGGCGGGCCCGCCCCACCCTCGGCCATACCAGGGCATTTGGGGGCCATAAAAACAAATGATCGAATTAATTTTGTTGACTTACAAATCTGTCCCTTATCTCTTCCTGCTAAAGACAAACGTCCAACGTTCCCAGTTCCTCTTCAGATGATAAAAGGGACTGTCGACTTGACAGTCGGCAGTCGGATTTTCGTGGATGTTCACTCTCAACAGACTTCGACAGTAGCTGCTTCATATTGGCGCTCATCTCAGAAATACCAGACGATTTGTTCTGCAATACAGTATACAGTCTATCAAATCTCAAAAACGGAACTCATTGAGACATGTGAATTACTCAGCCTCAAACGCACTGCCTACACGCCTAACGTGGAACGTTGATGGCGATGTATCCAATTGTGCCGAACTAGTTAATTAACATCTTAAAAGTAAACAAGCCTACTTGGCAATCGGCGAGATAACACTGTCGAACAACCGAAGTTCGGGATCTTGGATATGACTATTTCCAGCCTGCATCTCGGCCACATCCATCCCAACAAAATTGTAAAGAAACCCTGTTTTACGTTTCAATGCACCTCTACAGAATATTAGTAAGATTACTGTACTAACGTCTTCGGCTTTTCAGTGTTTAGTGGCAAGGTGTTTCCCTCCGTTGAACCGTTTATACGATACACATGTAACTTTTTGAAGGAAACCAACATTTATAGTAAATGATCGTTTCCATGTTTGTGACTCACCGTATTCATGAATGACGTTGGACTTCAGGACTGACCAATTGTCATTTGGTTGGTCACTGTTTTGTAGGTGTATATCACCAAACTCCGTTGGGTAGAGACAAAATTCTTTACCAACACTCCACTGCTTGGCTGCTATCATAAGCTGCTTCTTGCTTGATGCGTCTACAATGACGCCTTGTTTCTTAGCGGGCTAAATATTACATAAGAGGTAAGAAAATGGTTTACGGTCATACCTTTTGCACAAATGAAACAAAATACAATTACATAAAAGTATGTAATAATGGAACAATGATTAAATAATGGACACAGTTAATGGCAACACATTTAGTCAATATCCTTAACGGAAACTCATATGTGTTCATGACTAACTACTGAGCACTTAAATATTCCTAAGTTACTAGAAGGGAAGCGATCTTCGAAGTGATTGCGTGGGTCTGTGAATGACCTAAATCTCATCTCACAAGAAGATTACTTTGATTCTCAATGGTTGAATAGGCGTTACGAAAGGAAATAACCAATGGAATATTTATCATGTTCAACTTCGTTTTCAATAAACGTTTTTTTAAACATGCGCTTACTTTCTTACTTGCATGGGAAACTCTTTGACTAAGTGTTGAGAAATCCTGTTTCATTTTAAATGCACATGCAATTAAGTACGCGTATCTAATTAATAATACATCACCTGTCCTTTTTTTGTAGATATTTTCAAATTACAATAAGACTTGGCAGATACAATTAAAATACATAACGATTGATACTCTAGAATCTGCCGACAACTCATAATGTTGTACAATATCACGTTTTTTTCTTTTCGATAAAACTCTTCAAACATATACCATTTTTACGTGGATTGCAGTTTTCGTGTGGTGTGTTGTGGAAATAAAGACAAACACAAGAGACGTTTGGGGTTATGCCAAAGGTGTTTCGAACGCGGAAGCAAAATAAGATAAATCGGTGCATATTTAGGCGAAAAGTAGACAATTTGTCGTGTGTGTAGGCAAAAAGCAGACAATTCGTCGTGTATTTAAACGAGAAATAGACAATTCGGCGTATATTTAGGCGGAAAGTAGACAATTCAGCGACGTTTGGAACACAGAGGGATATAAAGGGGAATATCCACGTTGTTCACCATCATTCCCGCTTTATTGGTTGGTTGGGTCATAATTGCATACCCGTCACCTACGACAAAATTTTCTGTTGAGGAACCGTATATTCTTAAGTTCCAGCTCAAGCTGTTCGTTGTTTTTAGGAATACTGAGTTCTTCAACATCCTTGGTTATCAAGATTTAGTGTATAATGTATCTTGCACCCAATTTCGAAACTCAGAAGTAAGAAATTTTAGAAAAGTGGGAGTTAATTTGGGTCAAATTCCTTATTATTTAAATAAAAGTGTTAAAAGTGGCAAGCGGCAGACGAAAACCGTCTGATAGCTTTAAAAACAGCTCTTCATAATCAACTTGAATTTTGCACACTGAGCTTTGGACCATAATTTATTTGAGGGCTAATATTTCCACTCGATATACTTAAACAAAATAGTTGAAGCGTGGTTCCGACTTCTGATGGAATGCTGAAATATCAATTTGATCAGTCACTAAACCATGCCCATCGACCTGGGACTACACTTTAAAGGAGGACATTAGCTTTTCATATGTTCCAAATATCCATCATTAGTTATCGCATATAAGGTGAATGTAACATCTTGCTTGCAAGACCACGTGTATGGTATTCATTATTATGATATTGCTAATAATTCTTTTTTAATACTCAAAACTGTTTAGGTCTTAAGTAGATATGATTTTAGTATTGTTTCATCTACACTTGTTCTGGCTTTTAGAATAGCTTTATACTAACATGCCTCTTCCACCAGCTCTTCTTGCTCGACTTAGAAAGCGTGGTATTGTTTCCGCCGGTCCACAGGAAGAAGGTAGGTTTAATTATAGTCACTGACTGGAATCTAGCTGTGGAGGAAGTTTTTGCTGAGAATTATGATGAAGAAAGTGAACCAGTGTTACCAGTATCGTTCGATCAGCCTTTTAACGTTAAGAAATGTTACACGGTCAGTCCTGTTCCTATTATCGAGAATGGGGTTTTAATCCATGAGTGTGCTGAGTGCCCTAGTCAAACTAATCCGTATCATGTTTGTTCACCATATTGCTATGAACGATACGGGCGAAGGAAGTTCAACCCGGATCTAACAAACATTCGTTTGAAAAGCAGAATGCTACGTCGTTACCCACTCCCAAGTCATTGGATTGAAGTTGGTGATCCAGTGACTGGAAGGTAAGTCCAATGTTTATTATCTGGTTTGTTATGACTTTTCCATGACGAAATTAATCCTCAACACTGGTTCTAAAATGTACCGGCTGTAAGACTTGAAAATTCTGGTTTCCATCCTATGGGTGGTCAAGAGTAAGCATATTGCCAGAGGGTCTCGGTCTAGGACAAAACAGCACTTTATTGCTTCATGATTTTCGATAGTCTTTCAGCCAATATGCTTTCACAATAAAAACCACCTTCCATTCCTTCCATTATTTGAAATAATCGAGCGTTTTTGATATAATTCTTTGATGGATAGATATTATTATTGTTAAACTTGAGACATTTCTATTATGCTTATTACAATGCTATGTATCACGTAATTTTTGTGAGTCATACTGGTCTGTAATTGAAAATTCTAATGTTAGGTTTTTATAGGGGACATTTCACTTAATAGACTTCAATTAAGTTAACGTGTAATGAACTGAGCTAACCCCTGTATCGGTCTGTAGTTTCGCATGATTTACGCTAACAACGTTGACGTAACAAGATAGTTTCAAAGGTTTAAAAAAATAAGTTTACAACTAGAAACGAGTTCTCCTTGACGCTAATAATCCTTTAAGAATTTCATAAGTGTAAGCGTTGACAAAAACTTACCTACACTAATGTAATTTATTTTTATTGATTAGTCTGTAATTCTCTTTTTTTGTCCATCAGGTAATATTGTCCTTGATGTATGACGACGTATTTTTCTCTTTTACAGATTTTATTACTGGAATACTAAAACAGATGATGTATGCTGGTTGTCTCCGTTACATCCACGTGCTAAAATCAGTCAACCTGGTAGTATTGTTCGGGCCAATACGTTACGTGAACGTGACGCAGCTCGAGCTGCAGCTGAAGCTGCTACTGCTGCAGTTTTAGCTGCAGAGCGAAAAGATTCACGTCGTAGATCTAGTGATTCCGGCAGTAATCGATCAGGCAGCGAAAGTGAAGATAATGACTCTGATGAAATAAAAGAATCTAAACGATCTAGACGTGAAACATCTAGATCTCCTGAACATGATACTAATAGAGCTTTATTTAGACGAAATAATTCATCTCGCTGGCAGGATGTTGAATCAGAAAATAATCACCAGAGAAGTGTATCCAATGATTATAATGATTTCAACCAATCGACTAACGAACATGAGGCTGTAACACAAAAACTATCTGATACAGCTAATTTTAACGAGTACAATCAATTAGAGGATGAAGTTGATGAAGATGAAGAATCACCCGATGGAGTTCCTTTAACTGAAAATTATTATAACAACAGCCATAATCAAAATATTGGAATGGAATCTAACTTACAAAACTCTAGAGATGAGCATCCACCACCCCCCACATTTGCTCCTCCTCCTCCTCCCCCTCCCCCACCACCACCAGCTCATCTCATCTATCCTCCAACCCAATGGAACCGACCATCTGAATCCTCTTCATTATTTCCATCACAAGTCAAAAATCACTCTGATGATCACGCTAGTGGTACTACTACACGCGGTTGGAATCAACCAGCAGAGGCATCTGATAATAATCGTTTTAGATATAGAGATAGGGATAGAAAACGTAAGTGGATTTATAAAATATTTTTAAAAGTATTTCATTATTATTATTACTTACATGAAGTAGACTCGGCGTTATTATTTGAATAATAACAGTTATCCAGTAATTTTTTAATAAAAATCACAGGGTTTGTTACAAACATGTGTAGATTCTAGTTACCATGCTTCGTTCTAACACTTTACAAGAAAATCAACAAGACAAAAACAGCAGCTCAGGTATCATAACATTAGTTGGCGAAATACAACCGAGAAAAACAAGTAAATCTATAGAGCAATAATATCGAGTAACATAATGCTTAAGATGAAATACAAATAAATAACAGTGGAAATTTCCATTTAGACACTTATTAGAGAGCGAAAAAGCATTCCTTTTCGATTAGTTTTTCTTCAAGGCTCTACACTAATATGTATTTATTGTTGTAAAGCATAACCTTAGAAAAAAAACGAGATGAATTCAAAGCATTACTTGAGTATGTTGACCTTACAGAGTTATTAATATTGGAGCAAACAAAGAGTACTGGCTATATATGAGATTGTAAATCTTCACCGACTAACGTGATTCGAATGTGTTACACGTCCTTAGCAATTTGCGACATCGACGTCTTATACTGGTTTTGTGTAGGTGGAACTTGAAGGTGATTAGCTGACCTCGCGGAAAGATGGGTATTTGTCATAATAATATGTGTTAGCAAAGCTGATAACATGTTCTTAGTCTGAGCTGAGTGGACGTGAGGTAGATTAGTCTCTGGGTACGTTTCTAGTATTACATGTCAATCGTATATATTACAGTATCGTTGTTATTCGTCCTAGGAAATCAAGCGCCCCATTAGTGTTCAGGGGGGATTTAACAACAATTCAACTGATTAACATAGAAGTTGAGAAGCTAGTGATGGCTAGACCGGAACGTATAATCAACCTATAGTCACTGATTGTTGATCTAATTCGTGTAGGGTGCAAATTTCCTGACTGAGGTTTTCGAACTAGTATTAATCTACAGTTGGCAATTCTACGTGGATCTTCCTAATCGGTCAAAGTAGCTATCGAACTGTTTTCTGTCTTTAGACTGAGTCGACAATATAGTTTTTAATTCATTGCCTTAATAATTTTTACTGCCTTTGTTTGTGTATAGCAGTCCCTATTTGAGGTACACATACACATTTAAAACATTAAGGTCTAGTGTAATAGCTTAATTTTTATTAACATAAATGCATTCACGAATATTTATAATTTAGTTCAGATTTTCCTATCGAGTTGAAAAGTCTTTAATACATGCAGTTTGACTAATCGAAACTGTAGATCGTTACTACTTTAGCGCAGAAGTGTCGAGGTAGGATACTAGCAGATTTCGTCTTCTGTCATACTTAATTTATTTTTTCTTATACTTATTTGAAGGTCGCGCAGCAACTCTCGGACCCTTAGACCCAATGGATCCAGCGTCTTATGGTGATATACCACGTGGAACATGGAGTTCAGGTTTAGAAGGGGTTACTGGAGCACCATCGGCTAAGACAGGTGTAGACAGCACTGCATCGGGACCATTATTTCAACAACGTCCATACCCTAATCCTGGTGATGTTTTACGTGCAAATGCTGCAGCTAAAGTCCATGAAGAGGAAAGGCAAGATGAATCTAATAACTGAAGTTGTTGTGTACACTCATTGTTTTCTTTTCAATAGAATGTCAATTAATTAAAAAAACCATTAAATAGTTTTATGTCTTCGAAAGATACTTTCTCCATCGATGAAGTATAAAAAAACCATACTTAAATAATTATTTATAAGCGAAAAATATCAGAAAGAACAATCGTTTTTAATGACTCCATCAGGTTTTAGTTATCAAGTCCAGATGTATCGTTAGTACTTTATTACTCACGCCTGTTACCACACCTGGAGGAGCATAGTTATTTATTTTAACACATAGGTATTGGTACACGGAGGCACCAAATACATATGCGCCACACGAATCTCAATTGATTTGTGTGAGTCCTGTGATACTGCCCGGGTGCCAAAACCGAAGCAGGTGGTTTTCTTACGGGGCCACACCCCGAGCCTTCGACCTGAAGATCTGACCCACAAGGCAGTGGAGCATCGTAAGGAGATGCAGTCCCATGGTAGCCGGTGACCAACGATTGGTTCATACGCCATTTGTTCCTTCAGGATACTGGGGCCCATATGCACCATTGGTTTGGGGTCCGGTTAAAGCGCTGGACATTCGCTTTTCGTCCTCTCATTTTCGTAAACAACACCCCCGCCACGTGAAGGCAGTGAGTAGGACTTCCCTGGCAGGGGCTATGTACGCGTCGCCATGTGAGAGCATTTCGAGAGGTAGAGCGGACTCTCCCCACTCTCGGCCGTACCAGGGCATTTGGGGGCGAGGAGCATAGGCGGCTCACTAGCATCCTCTATCGAACTCTGTTTTGGACAATTATTTCCAGTTGCTATTCATACTTTTCATTATTTTTTTTTCTGGTTAGCGTTTCTTTAGCGAGTTAGTTTTCTACGGGATGGGGTCTCTAACCCTATGCCCAACCCTACTCCTTTACCCGGGCTTGAAACCGGCAGTAACTCTAGAAGAGATACAGGCGGAGTTTCATACCTACTTCCAATTCCCTACGTAATGTGTTCTTCGGTCCTTCTCTTTTCTGTTTCCCTTCAGGATTTCGCAAGTTAGAGCTTGCCTCGTGATACAGCTTGGTGATTTCCGTAATGCATGTTTTATCCACTTCCAACGTCTTTTCCTAATTTCCTCTTCAGCTGGAAGCTGGTTTGTTCTCTTCCACAGTTGGCTGTTGCTGATGCCCCCAAATGCCCTGGTACGGCCGAGAGTGGGGAGAGTCCGCTCTCCCTCTCGAAATGCTCTCACATGGCCATGCGTATATAGCCTCTGCCAGGGAAGTCCTACTCACTGCCTTCTCGTGGCGGGGGTGTTGTTTACAAAAGTGAGAGGACGAAAAGCGAATGTCTGGCGCTTTAACCGGACCCCAAACCAATGGTGCACATGGGCTCCAGTATCCTGAAGGAACAAATGGCGTATGAACCAATCGTTGGTCACCGGCTACCATGGGACTGCATCTCCTTACGATGCTCCACTGCCTTGTGGGTCAGATCTTCAGGTCGAAGGCTCAGGGTGTGGCCCCGTAAGAAAACCACCTGCTTCGGTTTTGGCACCCGAGCAGTATCACAGGACTCACACAAATCAATTGAGATTTGTGTGGCGCATATGTATTTGGTGCCTCCCTGTACCTATACTTATGTGTTAAAATAAATAAATCATAATAATGGCTGTTGCTGATGGCTTCCGGCCAACGGATATTGAGTATCTTTCGTAGACGATTTTCTATAACTACTTGTACGTTTTTGATGATGGTTGTAGTGGTTCTTCAAGTTTCAGCTCTGTACAGTAGGACTGTCTTGACGTTCGTATTGAAGATTCTTTGATATTGATTGAAAGTTGTTTTGAGTTCCCTATGTTCTTCAACTTTGGGAATGCTATGTTTGCTTTGCCAATCCTCGCCTTTATGTCTACATCCGATCCTACACTGTTTGTCTTGGCCTGCATTTGTTTGTGTTTATGGGATAAGCCATCCAAATCGTCTATTTGCATCCAACCTGTCCATTGCTTTCTGTGGTTCGCCTGATATGTTGAGGTCTTCATGATCCAGTCAACCACCAGAAGAAGGAGAAAGGGGGAGAGTAAGCAGCCTTGTCTGACCCCAGTCCTCACTTGGAAAGCGTCTGTCAGCTGTCCTTCATGCACGACTATGCAGAGTAGTGCATCGTATGACGATTTTATCAAGTACTCTATAATGTCGAAGAAGTTTCCATAATGTTCTATCCACACTGTCAAACGCCTTCTCGTAGTTAAAGAAGTTAATGTATAGTCATAAGTTCCATCTAACTGATTGCTCAACGATGATCAATAGTGTCTCGATTTAGTTCATGCACAACCGATCCTCACGGAATCTAGCCTGCTGATCTCGAAGCTGGACGTCAACTGAATCTTTCGTTTGGTTCAGCAACACTGTTGGACACTTCCTGGTACCGATAGTAGTGTGATGACTTCGTAGTTGAGTTCTCACATTTACACAGGTCTTATTTTTTTGGTATCATGACGAAGTGTCATTCTTTCCGGTTCGTCGGCATATGTTCTTCCTCCAAAGTCTTCCTGAATAGAACTTGGAGCATCTTGCTTGTTTGCATCTGTGTATCCAGCTTGTGTCTTGACTTTCTCTGTTCATGTTTAACTGTTGTTAATTGCTATCTTCCTTTCTTGAATCGTGTCCAGGGTTTCCATAGAGATCCATTCCTTATGATGATGCTTGTTGTGGCTTTGAACCTTCCGACACGTTGAAGCTAGTTCTTCTTTGATCTCTTTCCACTTGTCCTTCATAGTAGTTTCTTCTTCCTTGAGTAGGTCCTGTAAGGCTTGGAACCTGTTATTGAGAGCTATCTTGAATTCATCGAGTTTGTCAGTAACTCAAAGGAAGGCTGTATTAAACCTCTGTAATAATGTTTCCCCAGCTGTCCAGTGTTTCTTAACTTCAGTTTCATCTTGGCAACCATCAGGTTGTGATCTGAAACTATGTCAATTCCTCTCTTTGTCCTCACTTCTTCTATTGACCTTCTGAATATGATCTATCTGGGTCTGGGTGGTGTGGTCCGATGAAACCCATGTAGCTATATGTATGCTTTTGCGTGGGATTATTGTGCCGCCTATAACCGATCCGTTGAATTCACATCAATTTGCAAATCTGTCACCATTCTCGTTCGTTTCTCCCGGTCAGTCCGTGTCGTCCATTCCGACTTTGGCGTTTAGGTCTCCCATCAGGATGGTCAGGTCCTTTACTCAGCACTTCTCTACGATTGACTGGAGCTTCTCATAAAATTGATCTTTAACGTCGTCGTCGCATTCATTGGTGGGTGCATAACATTGGATAATGTTCATTGTGATCCCCTCCTTCTTTGTATTGAAGGGTACTTTTAAGATCTTCGATCCACGAGATTCCCATCCTATGAGTGCTACTCGTGCTTCCTCGAACAGCATGAGAGCGACTCTATGGGTTAAGAATTTTTTATTCATGACCAGAGTACAATAACATCTCTCCCGTATCTAGAGAGTGTACCAACGTCATGGAATGAGTCGATAGTTGTCCCTATCTTTAAAAAGCGTTTACGTTGTTCCTGTAACAACTATCGGGGGATAAGTCTACTTCCGATTGCGTCCAAGCTATTGGCTTCCGTCATACTTCGTAGGTTGTTCAAAACCCGAGAAGGATTGACTCGTGAGGAGCAGGCTGGGTTTCGTTCTGGACGAAGATGTATTGATCATATCTTCACCCTCCGCCAAGTGTTAGAACACCGCCACACTTATCAAAGGCCAACAATCGTAGTGTTTCTTGATATCAGGGCTGCCTTCGATTCGTTGGACAGAACTGTTCTCTGGGATTGTCTATTGATGAAGGGTGTGCCTGAGAAGTTTATTAACATCCTAAAAGCCCTATACACAATACCTCGGGCAGAGTGAGGGCATACAACCACCTTTCTCCACTATTCCATTCGAGCAGTGGAGTTAGGCAGGGTTGCCCAATCTCACCATTCCTCTTCAACTTTGCCATCGATGACATTCTGGAAACAGCTCTGACGGATGTAAGTAATGGTGGTGTGGATCTGTTGCCTGGAGAAAGACTTCTCGACCTTGAGTATGCGGATGATATTGTCTTACTGTGCGACAATGCCCAAGCCATGCAATCCGCACTTAATCAGTTGGCAATCAGTGTCCGTAGGTATGGTATGTGCTTTGCACCTTCAAAGTGCAAAGTACTTCTACAAGACTGACAGGATTCTAATCCTGTACTCACTCTGGATGGTGAGCAGATTGAAGTAGTCGAGAAGTTCGTGTATCTAGGTAGCTGCATAAGTGCTGGTGGTGGTGTGAGTGATGAGATCAATGCACGTATAGTGAAAGCCAGAGCGGCTTATGCCAATCTGGGCCATCTTTGGCGCCTTCGTGATGTTAGTCTGGATGTGAAAGGTCGGATCTACAACGCGACGGTGAGAGCAGTTTTGCTCTATGCTTGTGAAACCTGGCCTCTCCGAGTTGAGGATGTTAGACGACTCTCTGTGTTCGATCATCGTTGTCTCCGAAGGATTGCTGACATCCAGTGGCAACACCATGTTAGTAATGCAGAGGTTCGACATCGAGTATTCGGTCACAGAGACGATAATGAAATTGGTGTCACCATCTTGAAACACCGACTTCGGTGGCTTGGACTTGTTCTACGAATGTCGTCCCAGAGAATTCCTCGTCGTGCATTATTTACCGATGCTGGGACTGGTTGGAAAAAGCGGAGAGGTGGTCAGTATATGACATGGTGTCGTGGTATGAAAGAAAGCTGCAAAGGGCTAGCTTCTGTTGGTCCTTCACGACTCCCTGGTTGGGGTCCGAGAGACGATGTAACGCAGTGGCTAGAGACGTTATCAGATATGGCTCAGAATAGAAGCCAATGGCGATCCTGCTGTAACCTTCTTTTACATTTTTCATAAAAAGTGGCTGTATCTTCCTTAAGTGAAAGATTTCTTCTGATTGTACCTTTCCGTTTCCCTCATTATTATTACACTACCTTACACTAATTTGTGGTCGTTATTATTATTTTTTTCGTTATACGCACCTTCTTTTTTCTCTTCCCGTTTTCATTGTTTTGTGTGGCGCATATATATTTGGTGCCCCCCCTTATGTGTTCAAATAAAATAAATAAAAAATAAATGCCGTACTATAGACATACCTACTTTCTATTGAAAATGATGACTTCTGTTCATGACTTACTTCACTACCATCAATGTTAATTAAGAGACCATACTATGCGAGAATATATATTATGTGTATGTATTTGTATCATCATCATCATCATTTCAAAAGAACATCGATAAACAAGAACGTGTTTACATAAAATGAAAATTAGTGAAAGTATTTAACATTCTACAATGTATATATTTATATTTGCAATTACTCTGAGGCACTATATATGCGTGTAAAAGATGAATAAAGTGAAATTAAAACAGGATACATCATGATAATAATGAGATTAATTGCGAAAAAAAAAAAAAGAAAATGAAAAATACAGACAAAAGCTCAGCTATTTGTATATACATACATGTTCGTTTGTTTTGTTTTCAATGTAAGAATGCCTAGTACATATGGCTTCTAATTCTCAATTAAACAATCTATTTGGATAGATTATTGGACGAATAATGACCAAATAACAAATTTCAACTAATTATATGAGGTAATAATTAAATTCAATCGACAATTAAAATAATATTACTAATAAAAACCTAATCCAATTGAAACAAAAAAAAGCATATTGAGGATTAAAAATTTTTTTTATAATATACTCCCTTTTTTGTGTATGTGTGTGTGTGGATACATTACGAAGTTATAGATGATTCAACTAATGATCATACACAATTGAGGAAATAACCTAAAAAGAAAAAAGCATCCACCCTACTAAATATATAATGAGGTAATGTAAACAAATGACAGAAAGTATCAAGTTATCATTAATTTATTCTACTGAACAATAGGTATTATGTTTCATAGATAAATAAACAAGCAAAAACAAACTAATCAATAAATGGAATGTAATAATACGTTTTAACAGATGTAAAAATAATAGAAATAATATTTTAAGAATTAAACATATTCACCGAATGTGAAAAATTAAATGTGCAATTTACTCGATTGTTTTCAAGGCTTTAGAGGTATTAGAAGCCAATCCAAACAAAATTAATAAAAAAAAAAGACAAATAGGTAATTTTACAAATTTCAATTTGGTGGTAGAATTGTGTATTATTATATGTGAAATAGCATAAGCTGATCAAATGTTCAATATATATATATAGGACAGCTGTGTTTATCCAATAACGTGTACAAAGATCAAACGAGTGCATAATTCAAATTAAACAGCTTTATACAATTTGATACCTTGAAAATATAAGAAAAAAAAAAGGAAAATTATAAATGATAACTTAGTGATTATAAACACAATTGATCTTTATTTCTGATCGATATTCATCTTTGTACAAATATATTATTATTCTACTTAAATCTTAATTTTGTGTACATTATGTGGATATAACTAATGTATCGGAGAATCAATATTTTTTGAATGAGTTAAACTTAAAACTCCTTTAAACTGTAGTAATGAAATAATTTAATAATTAATAATAAGGTATAAAAAAAAATATCAATCGAAATTACTGGGTCTTATATAAACATAACAATGATCATAGGATTCAACACGATAATTTTACAGCTTCATTTGATTTCATTTGTTTCCATAATTTTAATCAGTTCATCATCTTAATAAGCTATATTTTTGAGACCAAACTATAAGCATAATTACTAAACGTGTTAATAACTGTTTTTGTTTATCTTACTGAACTAATACAAACTCATGTAGGTTTTCATTGAGGTCTTTTTTGAAGTGATGCAGTTTATGAATGTAAAAGTTCATACACACCATTGAAAATGTAAATAGTTATAATAATTTATGACAGTAATGAAATAGGAGGAGAGTAGTAAAATGATATTTTCAATCAAATATAATGATATTTACATAGATTAAAAAGTTACATGGGTATGCCTGTTAAAAGTAAGAAACTTCTCACTATTATATTGTAGTGGTGTTTAAACACATGAGCTTCAGTTTAGAATATTGGATAGGATAATCAATCTAGTCTTTGACCTTTAAAAACAAGAAATATGGTCAAGTAGCTGAGTACATAAACTCAATCTTATTAGTTGATTTTACTTTCAAAGATTTTAATCGATTATGGCTAATAACTGTTCAGCATTTTTTTTTTTTTAGTATTCAATAATTTCCTAGTTGCTGTCAATCTGTTAGTCAACGTAGAGCATGGCATAGTTGTCGCAACATATCAACATAGAAAAATAACATTAACAAAATGAATACCAAAGTCGTAGAAATAGTGGTTATATCTGTGTTACTGAGAAAAATCAGAGAAATAGAAGTTAAAATTTGAGAAAGAATGAACAAAAGACATAATCTTAAAACGCATGATCTAATAAAATTAGATAGAGAGTGCATCTGCGGTCGGTTCTGAGCTAAATTACCCAAAAATCTTCAATCATTTAATCAAGATAAGCTTGTGGCCCCTAATCAGGTTTTCTACACCTACTAACACGATTCAGTTCAATTGTCAATGATTAGATAGAATAATGTCGTGTCTTGGTTGTTTGCCACTAGTCCGGTTACAATCTACTTCTACACCAGCGAATATCGCCTGTTGAGATAGGTGTAGCACATATGCCAATTCGTGATGAAAACTTGATATTGAGAGCGATAGCCTAACCGCTTGAACCGCGAATGACACGTGATCACATCCTAAGTTGTAATTACACAACTTAGTCAATTTATTATAGGTGTTAGCTACATATGTTTAATTGTATGATTTGGTAAATAGGTATTCACACAGCAAGTTAATGAGTAATTGATGTTAAATACTATTTACTTCAACTTGTACAAGTCTTACTGTTAATCTGAATATAAATAAATCATATAAACAGAGGTGTATTCATATACAAACACTGATTCATTTTTTTTGGGTTAAATAAATTCATATCAGTAACTTTTGTGTTTCCATGACACTTCATCGAAATCCAGGTTTCAGTACCAATCACAAATCAATTAAGAGATTCCATAGACCTAATAAAACTATTCTTCACAAAACTGAAATAATCTGTGTAATTTTCAATGATAATAGAAACATCAACAATTATGAATAATGAATAGTTCTTTTTTTAAAAAAAAGGGTATTTACAATCCATAATTTCATTTTTTGCCAATTGAACTTCTTTACGTAGTTCAACAATAATTTCACGACGTAAATTATCCAATTCTGAACGAGTAAGTGATAAATCAGAATGTATAATATTTGATATTGTGGAACAATTAGATGTACTAACATTTCGGCTGAAGAAAAAAAAAACAAACAAACATTTGGAAATTATAAATTGACATTTTGTTTTTGGAATGAATTTATTTGTTGATTTAATATAAATTACCATGATCTAATGAAACAAAACACTAAACTCTCTAGTATACTAAAACAAGCAACGATCAGAAGGGAAGTGTTAAGTGAATTGAATAAAGATTTCAATGAAATAAATCACAACATAATGGTTGGTCATTTTCATGTTGTTCAGTTCTTAGTATTCATCAAGACCTATCGATCGACTGAATTGCGATGTGATGTTATATCCTAATGAAGATTAAATTACGAGTAACTTCTGAGACCTATTAGTGGATAAATATTATTTATACATTGTTATGGTGTAACTATTCAGTAATTAGATTGTGTATATGTTATACTTGTGACCGCCAATTAGGGGGCAGTGAATTATCGATCGAACCAGTGACGCATAAAACACGTAGGAGAAGTCTTGAGTACTATCGGTCCTGCATCCTGTCTAGCCCAGCCAGTTAAGTCCAGAACACAAATCACAGTCTCTGCGATATGAATCATTTATTTCAAGCATACTGGGTTTATATACCAACCAGACAGACCACACCGTACCATAAAATATGAAACAACATTTGTACAAGAGTGAGCTAAATATGGCTGTGAATGTGGGAGGTAGTAATTAATAGACAGGGTATAATTCAAGAATGGTAAATCATATAATAACAGTTCATAGGTCAAAATAAAGCTCATAATAAGAGAGACATGAATTTGAACAGTTTATTTATTTAACAATTATATGATAAAAATATACGCATGGTATTAGTCCACAAATGGATCCCAAGTTACCATTCATTATGCTTATCGGGACATAACAGTATATTTATATTCCTCTGATTATAAGCTTCATTTTAACCTATAGATTATTATTGTACGATTTACTATTCTTAACTTATACTAAGTTCATTAATTACTGCCCCCCCCCCGACGTTCAGAGCCACTTTTTGGCCCTATTGTGTACGAATGTTATTTCCTATTCTATGGTGCGTTGCGGTCTGTTTGGTTGATATATAAACCCAGTATGTCTGAAATAAATGATTCGCATAGTGGCATTTTGGACTAAGCTAGACGGGCTAGGCTAGCAAAGGACCAATAGGACGCTAGGCTGATCAGACCGAACGAACGTCATTGGTTTAAAACAGTACAAGAGCGAATAAGTCGTATTTTGATTGGCGAGTAGATTATGTGATAACTAGTGGGCTATAAAGTCACGACAAAACCCAATAACTACACATTACAATGCATATTTTTGTGATTTTAGGCGATTGATGACAATAGCCGAAATGTCTGGTAGCTAGCTAGGTAGTGTTCGTCGATACGGTGTATTTTTAATTTGATCATAAAAAAAACTAAACATGAGAATGTTTACTAAACAGTATGTAATTCATGCAACTATCTTAGTACAGGAAGTTTTTTTGGGGTCAGTACAGTTCAGTTATAGATCATCTGATTGTAACACTGGGTGGTGAGAAGATAAATAGACACTGCCAAGACTGTAATTGATCACTGAGAACTAGGATAAAATCTTACTCTAAGGATTCCAAATGACTTGCTTCAATGACTTAACTCCCGTAAACCTACAATGAATAGCTGTCAAAAATCACTATGCTTTAAATTATTATTAATGCAGACATATCCCACAGTATCAATGCAATTTAGCACAACTAAGCTTGATTTCCATTTATAATCACAGTTGTCTACATGAGATATAACTTAGTATTCGAATCAGTCGAGTCGGGAGATTTTATCAACATTTAGTAATGAATCGGTCTAGTACAGTAGACATTAGTGTGAGGAAAATTGCTGAAAAAATCAGTAGATTTTATCCAGTTTTAGTTGTTCTACTTTTCGATCACCAGTATACAACTGTTGACAGTATAATGGACCAATTTTTGATTTCAATACAGGTTAAGTAATTGGAAGTAATCCAAACTATTGTTTATAAAAGCTATTCATGGGTAAGGATTATGTGGTCTCCAAAAAAATATGCTTAAACAGATATAGTCATATTTATTTCAGCTCAGCTGGTGACAACATGATAATATACGAGAAAAATTGATAGTAAGAAGACAAATATTAAGAAGTGACTTCATCGTGAACCAGATGATCTCGAATGCTGTTAGAGGTATGGGGGACGCTCGTCACTTCTTGCTTGCCCACACGGTAGGAGGGTATTTCTTCTTAAAAGACCTGAAAAAGGAACTGAGTTAATGGTCGTATTAGTGACTGCAGAAGGCCTGTCACATGAGGAATTTTTATGGGGAGTTTTTGATGTATCAGCTCCGTACTTTAAAAGGCCTAAACCAGGGACGAAAATCCATGGATTAATTTGAAAAGTGACATTTTTGGGGTTGGCCTTTTCTAATCCCTTCCTTTCTTTGTTGGAAAGCAGCATCACTATCGATCCTTACTATCTGAGGGAAACACCTTACTAATGTCACACTCGTGTACAGTCAGAATTACGACTTTGTCGTCGCTTTTAGTCTTACTGCTCAAAACAGACCTGCTTGGCATGGAAGAACTTAAAGGAACCAGTGTTCCAGCCAGTATATTTCGACTGTGTCATCATAACAAGAAAGCCAGACCACTACGTCAAGGTAGCAGCTACGGTTAGAACATTAACTGAAAGCATTATATTATACATAAAACACCATTTTTACTTATGAATATTTTTGAATTTAAAAGTGAGAACTTCATTAATCATTTTTAGGATCTCTTGCAAATCTGTATGATAAGCAAGAGTTGAAATAATAATGGTAGCACCAATGACGATAGGAACAGAAGCCTAAAATTTTGAAAAATATGGAACCGAGAAATCAAAAGCATAAAATAATACTGCAATTCAAGCTGTACGTCGTATGTAATTTGAATTGCAAAATAAGATTAAAGCATAGGGATGAGTCAATCCGATGCATTAGAACTTTTCAGTTTTTTTTCGAGAAATTCAAGAACTAAAATGACACGGGATGGGTGACACGGGATCGAATCCGTCAGGGAGCACAATTTCTCTCAAGATTATAGGTACGCCTTGCTGACGAGTGCCAAGTAGCACAAAACCTAGGTCCAGGGTTTCCTGTTGACTACCTCCAACCACCATCTTATCTCAACATAGTGCACGCAATATCAAGTCATCTAGACTAGTGGCCACATTGCAGCTCGGTCGATAGCATTCGATCTAACGACCTAACACACATAACATTGATCAACACCCAGTGATCAATCAATTGTGAAAAATAACAATGTTAAACGTATCAAATATTCAATTCTTTCTGTATAAATTGAATGTAACATATAAATCAACTCTAGACTTAAACTCTGATCAGGAACAATATAAAGACTTCTGAAAAACTTTTTGTATCCTTACAAAGTTTCAAGACGACAAATGTTCTATAAATATATGAATAAATATATAAATTAATATATATTTTTTATTTACATACGGGGAAGACCCGTAGATCTCAATAGATTGATTATGTAAAAATTTAGAGTATTGATAAAAAATGGGTAGGAAATTGTCACGGTTACTTCAAGAATAGTTAAAACTCGTGTTCCCTACAACATAACTCATACTAAGTAGTATAAAAATGTTATTTATTGTAATATTGGAAAAAAAGTTTTAATCACTTACTTATTCAATGATGAATCGATCGAATTAGTCGATATAACACCGGTATTTTCAGAAGACATGGAGATAGATTTTGATGACTAGAATGTAGGTAAAATTAAGGGTGAAGAATTTATATAACTTAGAAAAGAAGATGGACTTTTTATGGTGAAGTGAAAAAAATAGTTTAAGGTTCAATTTATTTACTAAACATTTAGATAAATAATGGTCAATAGTGTTCAGTAGAGAATAATCGTAAGATAGATTTTCGAAGTTCAAGTTACAAACTGAGATAGATGAAGTCCAAATAAATCTATAATAGGACAGGAATCACTAGTAATGCGAACTATGGAAACCTAACTCAGTGATTCTAAAGTAAAATATTTATCAAGAGACTTCAAACTGCTTGATGCTCAAACCTATATGACATTATGAATGTCCATTGTCTACAGAGTCTAGAACTTAGACAAAGCCAAACTATCTAGTGCTCTTTTATTTTAAAATTTAACATGAGTTGAAAAAATTCTACGAAAGACGAAGAAATAGTAGACTAGACACATCCTTGTTTTAATTAAAACAAGAATCTCTGTAAATTTTATGGGAAGTACATTTGTTGTGAAGAGAACAATGGAGAAAAGATGATAAATTATGGAAGCTACTTTCTGAAATATTAGTTTACTTAGGTTGTGCTCTGTTATTAATGAGATTTGGTGACTGTCTTATTACTTTAATTACCAGCTTTTGTTAAATTCATGAACTACTGTCATATCTTCATCTATTAGATATTTACGGTAATTTGAACACTAGATTTGTATTCTATTTTCTTAACCTAAGAGCCCTATTTTCAAACATTGTGTTTTGGTCAAATGATTTATATATTTGCTTTGGAATTAGATATATTTTGGAAATCAAGGGTTTCCCACAGATCCTTCCTTTAGTTTCTAGTCAGACCAAGGTCATGACAACAATGAGCATGCTAAATAGTAAAATTAAAAAAGCTAAACTGTCATGAATCAGAAGAACAATTTAAAACCTGATAATTAAATGTTCATCAGTTCCAGTTATCACGGTCGTAACATCAGTCTATCAAATTACAGAAGATGGATTGAGAAAAACAATAATAATGGTAGCATATTATCTTAAAATAAAAGAGACAAATTAATTACTTCTAAATGATGGTCTTTTTTAAGCACACCACATTCTTCTTCAGCAGCATCGATTAACTGTCGTCTAGCTTGTATACGACGTTGAATTTCAGCTAGCATAGAAGATTTTTGATCAATGGAATCTTTTCTTAATTGCTGTGTAGAATCCGTACGTTTTATTGGGTTGGTTTTGTTATTGTCCAGTTGAGTAATTGATGATAATGTCGGTGGCGCTGGAGGTGGTGGTGGTGGTGGAGGCGGGGATTTTGTAGTTGAAATTATCTGACACAAAGAGAAAAATGTATTGAAATATGGCAATCAATAATAATGATTCGTGTAAACTGTAATGGAAATCAAGCCAAAAAGTTGATATCGGTTCATGAGACCATTGATTGAGCCACGTAGGGTAGATATAGACAATTAAAGTTGTGGTCAGCGAATAAAAACTTTAGGTGACATGATTCAAAATTAACCACAATCGAGCAGATGAGCCGACTCTTTATATTACCCTAGACCTTGAGTCCCAGTATTTCTTCAGATATGGTTTCTGATTCTATATCTTTTGTAAATGTTTAATTTTCACATTATCATTGCTGCTACATTATTTTGACCGCTTTTAGTATTATATTTTCAAATTCATCTTATCAAAATGATGTGGTATGAATATATGGGTTAACATACACAAGTGCCAGACTCTAATTTCATTGCAAATTGAAGGATTGTAAACTGCAATCCATACATAAAGTGTGTGTTTACAAAAGTGAATTATATTTTGTACAATTTAATATATATCTTTACCGACTCCCTACTATCAGTGTAAATATATTTATCAATGAACTTTGAGTGACATTAAATCAAGAAATTAAGATAATACGAATTTTGCTTTAAACTTATAAAACAGACTTCAGTAATAAGAGGAAAATTAATTAATCAGTATTTAATAGTTGAATTCATCATTCAATTGAAGATAGACTATCATGAAAAACTTAGAAACACTGGACGGCCATTTTCTCCTAGTATTGGACTCCTCAGCAGTGCACATCCGCGATCCTGACTCGCAAGATTTTAAACCAGGACCTATCAATCTCACTCGCGATCGCTTAACCACTAGACCACTGAGCCGGCCATCATCCAACGGTGTTAATGTCTAACTTCAAGTAATCGACGAAATTGAGCGACGCATCCACCACTGTCATCAGTGAGTTACTATTTCACAACAGACCTGGCTGAACTCCACTGGTCACTGCTTTTCACTAGAACTCCATTGTAGCTTTAATTGACTCATGATCTAAACTATTGAAATTACTATAATATCCATAACAACCTTTCTGATAGTGTTTTTTTTCTCACAAATAATTGTATTAAATATTTTTATAGACAAGGTACATAGAATTTTCATTCAGATTAAATAATAATTTACCAACTGAAAATTAATTATTGTTAGATCTACTTTGCAATTGTGGATTTCATGTACACATAATTCTAAGTATGTATTTCATGTTTAGTGTAGATGAACAGAATAACTACAAATTTAAACGATGTACTTGTTAGATCCTACATATATTATAAACTATAAAAGAGTAGGCTTAATTCCATAGTTCACAAATATTTTGACAATCATGAATTGTGATATGTACAAAATCTAGAATGGATAAGTTTCTTTCGTAAAAATGTACTCTATTTAATATCATACTATTTAGGATAAAGCTTCTTTATACTATTTGATCAGGAGATTGAAATTAAAATCTAAATAGTCAGTCAGCTATCAGCGAAATAGAACCTAGGATACATGTGTATTGATTCAAACTGTCACATAACATCAGCACGAAATAAAATTACTAAAATAAACGCGCAGATGACCTTGATCATGAAGTGATATCACCTGAAGAACTATTGAAAACTGTAGGTGTACTAGATATATATTTCATTCCAGTTTGGAAATTTTTGGAATTAAAAACCCATGATCTCTCTAGCAACCAAACACAGAACCCTAGGGTCTTGCGGCAAGCATATCACTCTTGATAGTTGCTACAGTGTGAAAATACAACTTTCGGGACTATCTTACTAAGGATTAATATCTGTGCCTTAAGTGTGTAATTATAAGACATTTAAATTACTGTACATTAATATCATCTTAGTTGAAGGCCTTCGTTTGACGCGTAAACTATTGATCTGTGTCTTACTTTCCATAAGTTACCGTAAATTGATTATGGACTTATTACTTAGTTTTCTTTCACACACGATGTAGTTATCTCCATGTATAGTAATTTCTCATTTATGTTGTTGTGAGGTCTGAAAACTAAACTGTATTACCAGATTAGTTTAAGTTATGAATTTTATCATACAATAGAAGTTATCTGTCTGCTGTGTTATTGTTCTATTATGATAATTGGGCAAAAGAACGTGGGAAAATGCATCTTGAAAAATAGATGTCACAATTTATTTTGAGCATAACTCATAAATGATTTTCCCAATAGAAGCGTATCACTGGTCAAGTCTGGGATACTAGGGTATAACCAAAATAGTGCACGCGTAGTAGAGAAATATTATAAGATTGGTGAATCTTATCAAATGATATCAATGAATATGATTTACAGTCATTGCAACATTGATATTGACAGGCATCGAAATTCCTGTAATAGATTGAAATAAGTCTAACACTATAAAATAAACGACAATAATCATCCTCTAACTAGGAATTAAATGTATACAGAAGATAACACAACGTTACAAAACATAAGTTTTGAACAGTCATACATAAGTTGATTTAATTTATCAGTTAAAGTATAGTATGAGGATGAATTAATTAGAATCGAGAAAGCAGCTTTTCAGATTTTGAATAAAATTCAAATAAAACCCATGACAATAAGCAACAATAACTCTGCATACTACTCAAAATGTTCAAAATCATAATGAAAAATTACCACTAACCACCATAAAGTAAAAATGATTGGGTTAAACGTATCAAGTGTTTTATTCTATTTCTGTACATTTCACATAACAGGCAAATCAATAGTATCCTGATTCATAATCCTAACCTAGTGGCAATATAACTTACAATCAAGAAAGTTAGATAACACCTGAAGTAAATACATTCATCCATTTGAATACAGAGAATTTTGTATTTTAGCTGATGTCACTTTGTGATAAAAACCCTACTACTTGTATCTTTTTTAGGGGTTAGGTAAAATATATAATCAATATCCATAAGGAAGACTTTTTCTATTATTGCTTCTCAATATACAGCCAGATCAAACTGTAGAAGACTTATATAAATGTACTAAATACGTAAAATCTGTCTACACAATGTGACATTATTGTTTGCCTTTTCACTAACTATCCATTTATAAAAAATGATTTCTGATTGGTTGAGAACAGACCGAAAGTTCGTCGCAGTTGACTTAATCTCGTTCCTATACCATACTACTATTCGATAGGAATATGAATTGTTTATCAACTTCTGTAGTTTCCGTAGCAAAAGTATACACCTATAAAAAATTATGATTGAATATATCAAATCAATCAATTCGATCATATATTTTAATTGATAATAGTTACCGGATTATTGCAAGAAGTTGAATTAACACTTGGTCTTATTGAATCATTACATCGATTTTCTTTATTACGTTTACGTGCAGCAATAGCTTCTTGTAGCATAGCAGCTAATCCAGATGATTCTGACTGTTTAGCTAACTCTTCGTCATTATTCTGTTCATTATTATTATTACTACCCGGTACTGATGTTGTTAACACTGACGATGAATTTGAACTGTTTGTGCTAACAGTAACACTTGAATGATCAACAATTTCACGAGAAACTGTCAAGAATAAAAAAGAAATAAGAAAACGTGAAATTTTGTTTTGTTCAAGTAAAATAAAAAATTATGATAAATATGTTAAAATTTATAGAAAGAAAACGAAAATGCTAAATAATAAGTACCATTTCCATGTAGATTATACATAGTGTTATACTGATAAGTTGGTATTTTAAATCTTTTGGATATTCTTATTACAATTATTGAGAAGTATAATGAATGAATGAACGATTAGTGTGAAACGTATGTTTTCAGATGTTTGTAATGAGTAACACTTGATTGACAATGTTCCATAAGTTTATGGAAGTTTTAATTCATGTTTGAATTAGTTCTTTGAATTTTCCCATTGATCAGTCTCTTATTGGCAAATGTTTATCCTGTGAGAATTGCCTCGATATTCCACTGTTAGCCACCATTACCATCTTTGCTTATAATGCTTATGACTAAAGGCAATATCGAGGCAATCCGTACAGAATGTACGTATGACAATAAGTGATTGATTAATTGCAGTCCTAAATATCAATGGGACGATTAAAACAACCAATACAAAAATCAATATGATAAGGGTTCAAACATGAACTTCTTCAGTCAGTCAATCAGTCAGCTATAACGTAGGACCAGGTACATATATGCATCGGTCCAAGTTGCACAGCAAGATGAACACTGAATTCATAGAAGTAGTTAATTCAGTGGTGGTAATATATAAAAGAAAGATTGTGTATAAAGATATAGTACAGGAAGAAAGAATTAGTTCGTAGAAAGAAAGATATGAAGCGATTTTAATCTCATAGTTTAAAGGAAGATCGAGAGTGTATACACCTACGCCATTGTGATCGATTCTGAGCAATGTCACCCAGAGTCTCCAACTATTGGTTACGATAGTCGAAATATATTCAATTACTACAAATTCATATGAAGTAGAATCATAGAGAAAACTAAATAAGTTACTCAATGGTCGTCTATGTACAGGATGTTTACTTACTAGATTAGTGGCAACATAGAAATCTACACAAATTGTGAACATCTGGTATCGGTGATGTACAGTAAAACTGTTTATTCAATTTAGATTGCCTTCGTTTTGATAGTAGTATAAAAAATGAATGCTCGTGCATTATTAATTTTATAATTTGTTCCATTTATAAGCTTTCTAATAACGACTCTGTTTTTAAAGTACTGTTTATATACTTTAGCCTATAACATCATTTTATTTCTACATTGATTAAAAGTCTAGTATGCACAGAGTACTTATAAAACACAAATACTGAATAATAATAATAAGCAAGTTTCTTCACTTGATTATTTACTAAACTAACATAGAAACTAAATAAACGATTTCCAACTTAACAGTTTTACCACTGGTAGTAAATATTTATATAATAATGAAAATCGACTCATTTTAAATGATATTTTCATTAATTTACATAGATTAAAACTTCACAGTTATATAATATACCCTTGTGAGCCAGGGTAATTTTACATTGGTTTTCAGGAGAACCAGACATCATCCAGACTTTCACGTGACAACCCATACAGTACAGCTCAATCCCGCTTCACTGAAGAATCAGACACCGTATAGGCTTTAACGCTACAATCTGAATAGTACAGCTCAATCCTGTGGCGCAACCGCACAGGTACCAAGCACCCTGGTGGACCATTTGCACCATTCATATACACATTCACATCACATGTATAGTTATTCCTATCATTGATCGCGTGAATCAATTATGCACAGCACGAACAGGCCAAAGTTGACCTATTCCGCTTACACGACAGTCAAACACATTTATGTTAGCAATGGCGACATGCCTCACAATGTTCCAATGACAATGGCTCTTGAGAACACTGAAAAGCAACCACCAGTATGAATGAAATCGGTTAACCACCAAACCAATTTTGTGCATGAACAGTTAGCAAAACTTGCCAAAGCAATGCTGAACAATCCATAATATCAATGGCGAACCTCTAGTTTCATATGAGATCTTCAGCTCTACATAGCCATATAGCTTAAACTGCATACAACACATAAGATTAAAACTTGATACATTAAATATTCAAATCATTAATCAAAAATTTTACTAGGTTTATTATTTAAAACTGACCTTGAGAATTCGAACCTGACCAGTTACTACTGATAGACTCTCCAGTTAAAGGTGGATTCCTCAAATTTTGACTACTAAGACGATGCATTGTACTCAAATAATTACCATTAATTGGACCATTCCCAACACTGCTTCCACTGCTACTAGTACTTGCATAACTAGCTAAACTTCCTGAACCTGCATATCCATAACCATAACCGTAGCCAGTAGATGAAGAGGCAGATGAAGGAGTTGCAATTGTTCCAGGACCTGTAGCATAACCTAAACTGATTGATGATGTAGAAGATAGTTGACGACGATGTGTTTCAATGGCACCAGAATCTTTACCACCACTATTATTATTAGTCAGAGTAGTAGCAGTTATCGATTTATTTATTTGATTAGATTGATTAACATGATCTTGATATTCATAATTCGCCAATTCATTAGGTTCCGGTTGTTTTCTGAAATAAATCAGAAATTTTTTTTAGCATATTCAGGGCTGCAAGGTAAAGAATCAAAAGTCAATACAGCAGGGAAAATAAAACTACCCGTGGATTGTTTTAATCAGAGGTGGGTGGTGGCTAGCAATAAAATTCAAGACGCGAGTTTTGTCCTATTTGGGACTCGTCAGCTGGATGTAACTGCAGTCCAGAGTTGATCTTCGTTCTTTGACTACAGGCAAAATAAGGAAGCATTTTTCCAAAATAGAAGCGTCTCATAATAATGTGAAATAGCTATTTACTGTTTACTAGTTAATCATAGTACTATGAACAATATCAATCCGTGGTGATGGAGAGAGAATCATTTACAAATAAAACTTGTAGTTGAAACTAAGAAAATCCTTCTATGTACACGATATCACGTTAGAAAAACAATTGGACTAAAACAAACTTATACACACACATTATACATAAAGGGTTATAAAAAAGCCATCAGATTAAAGTCTGAAAAACATGGAATCAGTTATAATTAACCTAGATCCCGGAATGAACATTTCCTAGCTGAAATGTTTACATCAGATCAATACGAGATGAAATCAATAATATGCATTGAAAAGAAGTCTAAATAATAGTAGTACTACTGGTAGTGAGAAAGATTAAGCACTGAAGAATATAATCTGAAGTTACAGTCCTCAGGGAATTCAGCCCGCAAATCATGCAAAACAAAACCAGGTCCTCTATAATTATCAATATAACTCAGTCCAGTATTTAATGCTTTCATAAACTTATGCAGTGTTTTGTTTTAACCTCATTGAGTTTTCATCTAACCTCCTTCTACTAGTTTCTTATGAATTTAATTGATACAACTACTTTGAGGATCAGACCAGAACTGAAGTGGTGAAACAAAAAGGTGATAACAATCTAATTAGGAAAGGATTTTCACTGAATACTAAGATAAAATAAGCTGATAATGCCTGTGATTATATGATAACAGTCTATAGTGCAATAATCAAATGAAGTTCGAAACTGTGATTATAACTTGAAAATGTTAAACCATCTTTAAATGAACAAAGTTTTCACAAATCACAAGCCATTCATCATTATTGACCAACTTTGAGATGGGTTTCCTAGTCTTAAAAAAAAATTCATGAACTATGAAACTAACCAGGTTGATCGTGAGATACTTATCTAGACGATGAAATCAGATGACGATCACTTCATACTACGAACTGAATAAAAGTTATGGATGAAATCTCATTGGATTCCAGTTGTCTAAATATGCCTTGTTCACTACAGGACCTGATGGTGGAACTTTGATCTCGTGTATATATATAATATATATAGGGCAAGACTGTAATTTATGGACGAATCAATCAGATCTAGGATAGCAGGTCTTGGATTTTGGGACGAAATTCATTGACCCATTTGGTCAAATAGCGTCTTGACATTTTACCTGATATCAGTTCGGAATGAAAAACCGTAAATCTAATTTCTAACCTTAACCATCAACCGTGAATCCTAATCCTTATTCTTCAAATTGCTTTATAACCCTCATTTAGCCCTGGTAAGTAGGTGGACACTCTCAAGGTCACGTTGGTGTCGCTTAAAGGTCGTCCATAAATTATAGTCTCACCATATACAGTCTTAAATTGATGCTCCTTAATTGATAATCTAACCTTCCAGCTAATTCCAGTTCGAGAATGAATACATATATATGCAATGGATCTGTTTGTTATGTCTTTTTTTACTGATCATTTCGGCCTTCAGCCACACTTCTGTTTCCCACGATCTAAGATCTACCTGAATGGCAAGTTAATGTAAGTCCTCCGACTCTTGACGAAGTTGAAAAAGCTATAGCAAATCTGAAGCGTGGGAGAGCAACAGGCCCTGACAGGTTTACCCCTGAGATTTTTAAGGAGAGTGGTCTAGTATTAGCAGCGAGATTGACTGAGGTCTTAGGTAGAATCTGGGAACTGGACGTAATCCCATCTGACTGGTCCTAATCACTGATTGTGCCAGTCTATAAGAAAGGACGAAAGTCTTTCTGTGACAATCACAGAGGAATTAGTTTGACTAATATAGTGTCTAAAATATTGAATAATGAATAATTTTTCTGGTTAGCGTTTTTTTAGCGAGTTAGTTTTCTACGGGATGGGGTCGCTAACCCCATGCCCAACCCTCCTCCTTTATCCGGGCTTGGGACCGGCAGTAGCCCCCGGAAAGGGACTCCAGGCGGAGTTGTCTAAAATATTAGCTTCAATAATATTTCGACATCTAACCAAAGTTCGTGAAGAGCAGACTAGAGAAAACCAGGCTGGTTTTCGACCTGGACGTGGTTGTATAGATCAAATATTCACACTAAGTCAGGTCCTAGAACATAGAAACACATTCAGACGCCCCATAATGGTAGTATTTCTCGACTTTAAGGCGGCATTTGACTCTGTTGATCGTGAGGTTCTATGGCAGTGTTTGTCACTGAAAGGAGTACCAAAGAAGTACATTAACCTTATAAAAACTCTCTACTCGAACACAACTGGTCGAGTGAGAGCTTATAGCAAACTGTCATCAGAACTGATTACCTCAAGTGGTGTTCGTCAGGGCTGTCCACTCTCTCCATTCTTGTTTAACTTTGTTTTTGACATCCTTTTAGAAATGACACTTTCCTCATCTAAATTTCCAGTAGTTGAACTTCTACCGAGAGATCCACTTGTTGACTTAGAATATGCCGATGACATAGTTCTATTTAGTGAAGACGCTGACGAAATGCAGAGTCTGCTGACCATTCTAAGCAACAATGCAGGCATGTTCGGCATGCGATTTTCTCCCTCGAAATGCAAAATATTGCTTCCGGATCGGGTTGCGTCGACACCTGAACTAGTGATGGGGAGTGAAGTAGTTGAGCGTGTCAACCGCTTCATTTATCTTGGAAGTCTCATCAGCCCTTGTGGTTTAGTGTGTGACGAAATCTCAGCACGGATACAGAAGGCTCGACTAGCTTTTGCCAACTTGCGTCATTTATGGCGTAGGAGAGATATCCATCTACCGACCAAAGAACGTGTTTACTGCGCAGCGGTCCGTTCTGTACTACTTTATGGCAGTGAAACATGGCCACTGGACTATACTCCTTAAATAACATCATCAAACCCTAATGTTCCCTATCACTACATCTACCACTACGAGATTTGAATCGATAACTGAATCTCTGTGCTAATGTGGTATGGCAACTCGAACTGATGTACGTACGTACGAAGTTCCACGTTGTTATTGACTGACTGACTGATCATTTCTTCTGATATAATGTTTCAGAAAAATAATTGTTGATTTTGCCACTTAGAAAGAAGCATATACATAAAACAGAATATAAATGTGTATTTTCTTTAAATCGAGTATGAACATGTATTATATTCAGTGAAGAAAAAAAAATTAGTGCACAGTTTTAATAGAAAATTTGTTAGTAATCAATATAGAATTGTTTACTCTTAATAATGTAATTAAGCCAGTAATGTATAATATAACTCATACTAAATAAAATTAAGTAGGTAGTTGTGTAAGGACAGTGTAAACAGTGAACATATTAACAACATAAATTTCAATATATTAAACAAACCAATTCAGTAATCTACGTACAGATTTATAAACTATGAACATTCAGTTACATTTTATCAACTGAGAGTTGCTACTGTACTAATAATCTATTTGTTCCTAATGACATACAGTATGAATATGTAACTCTAATAGAATAAAATTCTAAATGTTTCAATTACTAGGCTATCGCTTTATATAAAATAGATAAGTTATGTGTTCAATAACTATGGAAAGTGAGATCGTGAAAAGACTATCTTACAAACTTTATGATAAGAAAATTTTTCATCTACAAAAAACTCTTAGCTTATAACATTACACTTACCCTGTTTCAGTTTACATTATAAAAAGAAACCCCTACAAGTCAACGGAAGTTAGACTTTACCTAACACTAAATATTTCTCTAGAACTGTAAGTACAGACGATTTTCTAGAATTTTTGTCATTACTAATCATTTAGATAGTGAATCCATGATAGGAAAACATCGAATAGCACACATCCGATTTTTTTATCAATATAGGATATTACACATTTACCTAACCATAATTTAACTATGCAGTCTTAATTAATCATACTGAAAATGCTCGGTACAATTTCTTGTATTCCGTTACCTGCATAAACAGTCATTAACATTTCATGAATTTTCAGTCAATTTTTAACAAAAATTCTTATAAATTAGGTCATGTAATTATTAAACTACTTTTTACTTCACTTACGCCTGTTACTCCCAATGGAGCATAGGCCGCCGACTGGCATTCTCCAACCCACTCTGTCCTGGGAATTATTAAACTAACGATCTACGATCTCATATAAATTGGTTTTTTTTATACTTTAAACAAACGTAAAAAAGTATAGAAGTTGAAGATACTGAGGACCGAGAAGAAACGAATACATTTGCACTGCTGCAAACGATCACGTAACTTGAAGTATGTAACTACATGTCTTCAATTTTTTATACACTAACTACAAGATTTATAATTTATCTTGTAATTAACACTAATAGTCAGGAATCTTATTATTAAATGCTGTGTAAAGATCTAATACGTATTAGATCTAAATTTAGTGTAATTTCGACACGTTATCCAAGATATTCAAACTTGCATCACCTGTAATACAGTCAAAGATGTTACCAATCAGGCTACTTAGATTCGACTGACCTCCAATAAAGATTGAGATATTTACATCAAGGATTAAAAATTGGTTACCACTAAGTTTATACCACGACAAATATCGACGAATGAAGAAAAATAAATCGTTGGTCAATTTTTACTTGTTCCAGTGTTTGTTTTTTCTTTTTAGAATAGTAAAATTATGCATAATTTATATTTTGTATTAGGAGAAGACTCATAAGAAGTTACTAGTTGATCTTATTTTCATTATAAACAATACATTAACTAGTTCGCTAAACAGTAATCAATGTTAGGTTATGATCGAAGTCT